TGTTCGAGTTTCTGTGTACACAGCTGGAAGTGTGTTTTGAAAATGTTTTAAGAAAGTCTCTTATATTTTCCATTAAAAAGCTAGTGGCGCATCGTTCCTTACATTCTATTAATAAAAATACACAATAAAACGATCTTCATACCTGAGAACTAATCCTTTGGAACCTCCCGGCTTTATTTTTTTTTTGCTGCTTTAAGATTATTTTTTCGTAAACAAGTCTTGATCGCAAATAATGAAACTCAATAATGATGATCTACCAAAGAATCACTTATTATGTATCGTATGGTAAGTAATATACAATTATTGTTTTTTTCTCTGTCTATTTTTTCTTTTGATCAAGAACGCAACGTGTAGTTTTGAAAGTCATTGAAGTTATTTATCCTCGATTGAGAGGACAAAGGTTTAAGCAAAGTAAAAACATCGCTAATTATTAAAAGATTCTAAATGATTGAAACATCGTTTCGTGACAGATATGCTTTAAGGTACGAAATTAAATTAAACATTTGGCATTTGACAAAAGAAGATTCATTTTTAAAGACATTGACATTGGGCTTAAACAGGTTTGAGAATGTTATGGTCACATGAAAATAATCTAAATGCTGTTTTTATACTTTTCTGTGTAAAAAGTTTTTGTTTACGTCTTTAAGGTAACTTCCTGCTGAAAACTATTAACCAAATTAGTTAAGACCTATTCTTAAGAAGACATTCAAAACAATATAATTGTTAGATTCGCATATAACTAATTTGGAATGCCCAAAAAATCTTTAAAAAAATCACCAAAGGAATTGAATTAACATTCTTTAAGTCTAATTAGGATGATTTAAATGTTGATTCATTATAAACAATAAAGTTAACATTCAATGCATTAAATCAGTAACAATGACTTTCAAATTTAAGGATTGAAGAAGTTATGGACTTCAATCTGCATTATTTCAATTCTAAGACTTAAATTAAACTACAAATTTCGAAATCAAGATACGAAATTGACTACAGTTTTACGAGTTTGAGATCAGCAGTGCTATTGATTCTTAGTCCAAAGAGGTCATCATAAAGATTAAACCGAGATATTTTAAGAACATACTACAGATTCCTATAGAAAGTGAAATCGACGATCAATCCTCAAGTTATATGAGAAAAAATTAATGTTGATTTTAACATTGAAACTCCTTGAACCTCTTTATATAGGCAGTCATTTTGTGACAATATATAAAAAAATGAAAGTCCAAAGTAAAAATTCAACAAGAATTAAATGTTTGCATTGATAAAGCTGCAATAGTAAATCTCTTGATCCATGAAGTCTGAAATATTCACAATCGATTTTGTATGCCTCGAAAAAATTAATCGAATTTCGTACTTGATTCCTTATCAAAGTTAATTTAAATTAGATTCCCATAATAGGGTAAACCATGTTGAAATTTGTGTGTTTTTGCACATGAAGATTTGATTTGCAAATAAATTGCTAATGACTGATCATGTAAATTTGCTAATGGGCTCAAAAGATCAATAATTGTGGGAATTTTCAGCTAATAATGTTTTTTCAAGGTTATGCTGCCTATGGGAAGAGATTTTTGACATTTTCGATCAAATGTTGAAATTTGTGCGGAAAATTTTAAAATTTGTGCGAAAACATGTTGAAATTTGTGCGTTTTTTTAATAGCAATCTTTGACATAATTGCAATTCCTAAATGTAAACAAACATATTATTTACATATTTTTGGAACAGAAATTGATATTTTGCTGAAGGAACTGCTTTGAATAAACTTTAAATGAAATTAAGAATATAAAGCTGAATTGTTTCAAACCTTTTCCTCAAGAAATAATACAAGATTCAAGATTTAACTCAGTTTGATAGTTTGAGCTAGCTGAGTTTACAACCGTCAAAGGAACATCCATTAAATCAGCATTTCCTCCATTTTTGTGTAAATTTTATGCAGCATAGAGTTTTAGTAATAAAAAGATGAAATCTAGCAAATAAAAATGTATTTATTTAAAATTCTGAAATTGGACACTTAACAGGATATACTTTTTGAATATATGGATCTGTATGGATATTCTTGAAGTCTTTTGCATTTTTGTTTTATGTTTTTTTTAAAATTTTAAATGACCCACGTTTTTAATTTTTATCAGCTGTTATCAGTTTTTGACTTTCAGCAGTTCCATTTATGCTATTCTTCATGAAATCCTGTAAAAACATGAATTTCATACGTAAATAATATTTGTTGTTGACAAAAATTCCCATCGCTTTCTACGACAAAAAGCACACAAATTTCAAAATTTGTAAAAAAAATTCGCACAAATTTTAACATTTACAATCAAGAAATTTTAAAATCAATTTTTAAAGCACTTCCAATGATTTTTATAACTTGAATTTTTTTGAAACATTATAGCAATTATCAAATTTTATATTTAAACTGTGATTTGATTATAAGCAGCACTGGTTATGTCCAAATATTTAAAAATATGAAAATCACAATTTTGTATGGGATTTTGAATTTTTAAAATTTAAAGCTGCTCCAAGCTTCGAGACTGTCTAAAATGATGTAGAAATGTTTGTACAACTGTTTTACACAGAACTGCAAACAAAATTTTGGTTTAAATGGCTTATTTGGGCTTATTTCTTTTTTATTTGAGCGCACAAATTTCAACATTGCACAAATTTTAACATGGTTTACCCTATTTTGTTATCGCAATAAATTTTTCATTTAAATTTCTGTCTTTTTAATTTTTTACCAACAATTTTGAACTTTAACTTTTAATTGAATTTTAGAAGATCGAGTATTAGTATTTTAGATTATTTGTTAGACTGATACAACCAGAAACGGATGATCAAAAGCTATAATTAGACTAATTTGAATTTAAAAATGTTCAGGTTTTCTAAAGTTCAGAGTCCCAAAATGATGAGTTTTAAAAAAATAGAATTTTCAAAATATATTTATAGGAATGTGGTTTTGAACTTAAAATTCTAATTTTTCTAGTTTTAAACCCTTAAAGTCATAAGGAAAGTAATATCAAAAAGGTTAACACCCTTTACCAAAAAAGATTTTAGGCAAGCATGACAGATTTAGAGCAAATAAAATCAATTGGACTGAATAAATCAAATACTTAAGTCATTTACATTCGCAAAAAATCTCTTTGCATGTTCGGAGAAATTCTTAATCTTATTACGCCTAAACATTTAATCAAAATCGTTCGTGTAAATATTTAAATAATTAATGAGTTTAATATAAAAAGTGACTAATCTAAACTTTTTGAATTTATCTAATTAGATGGAACAATTTGCAATTTGCAATTACTGAGAATAATACGAGTTTGAACTTTACTGTACGAAAAAGTGATGCCTTCATTTAAGTTTAATTAAATTCTATTGATTTTTACCGGTTAATACTAATACAAAGCAAATCCATAAGTCACAGATTAATTTGAAGATTAAGGAAACAACTGGATGACAAGCAATAATCCCCATTAGCAAACCATAGAAAAAATTGTCAGAAAACAACAGCAAATTAAAATTTTTGCAGGAAATAAATGTTCAAAGATTTATAAATTAGTACAGTCCCTAAATGGACATTATTATTATTATTTTTTAATGATTTTGTCACAACCTGTTGAAGGTTCTGAAATTTGATACGAAGATTAAAAAAGTTCATAGAAAAATCTGCAAACTCATTGTTGTGTTTTATCAAATTCCGATCTTTAGCATCTAAACTTTCAATCTTGCTGTGACTAGTAAATTTGATTCGCATTGAGCTATTACGACACAAAAGACTGCTTATCAATTATCACAACAATTTTCTCATCATCAAGCAGCAATCAAGCAAAAACATCTTCATTTCGCATTTAATGCAGCTAGCTTCTTTTTATAACAATTTTCAACATTTTATTATGACAGAACTGTTGAGTTAAGACACGAGCAACCGAATGACTGTTCTGATTTTCCCACCAGAATTTTATGAGGCGGAAATACATTAACTACGATTTTCTATTTTTTCCTGTTGACTATTCCGCTTTGAATATTCATTTGCGATGCTTGGCAGTTCAAAGTGCTTCCATAATTTATCTTAGTTAAATATTTTTATGATTTTGGTGTCTATAATTTTGATAATGTCATTCCAAAAATTGACATTTTGCGAAGAGAGACAACCTTCAAAAATTTTTTTTTATAAATCTTTATGGGTGTTGTGCAAATGTTGTGTCTATTAGCCTTGACACAAATGAAATTTGGAGTGGATGAATAAATTTTCTGACGTCACGAGTTATCTCGCATCATGATTTGGTGATTAATAATTCACCTCAGATACTTTTTCTCACGACATTTATATAAAAATATTCTTAACCATTGTTTTTACAGCCGTGCATTAACATCTTCAAAACAACTACATATTATTTAATTTTCGCTTTTACTTCTTGTAAGTCTAACATTTTTTTCTCTCCTTAATAAGCTACTTATATTTCTATATTCGATCGTTTTAATGGTCTGTTACCTAATTCGCATGTGATCCGGAATTTCTTTTGTGGCGTCTTGTTTATAAACAAACGAAATAAACTTGACAGGCACAATAAAACTTTAAATTTAATTGAATAAAGCTCTAGTCTTTCTCATCACTAAAATAAATTTTAATTCAATAATACACTATTTTATGTAGGTACCTTTAAAGTTATTTGTTTTTAAATTAAAAATAATTACCGAGACTTAAACTTTTCAGATTGAAAATAAACGTTATTTTTTAACCTAATTGTTTTCAAGATTATCTACAATAGGTTACAAATGATACAAACACTTTTTCGTGATATTATCAAACTATATTCCCGAAATATCAAAGTCTTAAACGAGCCAAGAATAAGCACAATAATGTTTTTAAGTCGTATGATGAATATAAAAACAGGTTTTGCGCATAATGTGTAAATATTATTTATTTAAATGAAGCTTGATGCGACTTTTTTGTAAATAATATTTTTCACAACTTTTATGAATTAAAATCTTAAGGCTGAAAAAATCTTACCTTCGTTTAGCAAAAAAGTTCAATTAATTTTTGCTCTTAATTAACTTCAAAATGAGAAATTAACCGCTAAAACTAATCTTAAAGCTTGTTTAAAGTGCAACACTGTTTTTATTTATCTCACTTTACTTCTTTTTTCTATTATTGCTTTTCCTTCAAACTTTTTCTTTCGTATTGCTATTTTTTCTCTTCTCTTTTTTCCGTCTCTTCCAATAAATGAACTACTTTCGAAAAATATTATTTTAAACTTTGTGATTGTTTCACGATTTTTCTTCACGATAATGCAGTTACTTTACTAATTTATATCACGTTTGGGAAATAAATTTCGTGCTTAATTTGTTTCACAACAAACAGAAACAAGACAAATTATTTTATAAAGAAATATTTCAAGACTTTTAATTAAATTCCAACTGACACGATCAAAGCCAAGCGATCGACTGAGCGAGGCACAACTTGAACAGACGTAAATTTCGAAATGAATGAAAAAATATTTTAAGCAGAGAAAAAAAATGTTGTATTTTGACGAGCGTACAGCATTTTTGTAAAGAGAAAAGAGAAGAGAAATAAAAAAATCAGCTGTAACTCTCCATCCAAAGATTAACAAACTTAAGTATCTTCTCTGAATTCACATGGTGATGCTTGATTGTTAAATTACAAACAAATGATTCTGAATATAAAAGTCTGGGATTTCCTACTTGCTGTAAAGTTCTAAGAAGCTTTTAATGGCCACAAAAGCTTCTATATAGTAAACTTTAGTTATGAGTCTTTAAATAATTCATGAGACTCATTTGAAAAATTCAAATAAATTCAATTTATTGGTCCATAGTTTCAAACTTTGCATAACAATTTTCGTGTGGCAAAAAAAAATATTATTGGTCAAGGTCAGACTTAACGATCCTTCGATATCATGATGACATTAACACAGATATTTTTTTATAGCCACGTTGTAAAAAAGAGGATCATCACATATTCAATAGATTCTTTATTAATTTTTTTGTTGTGCTTTCTTTACTTTTTGCAAAGAATCGTTTATTATAATCCTAAAGCACGCTTATATTGATTTAATAACTCTTGTTCTTTTTTCAATGTGAAGGTTAAATATTCATCATCTTCGTCCAAATGATCCAAGTCGTTTCGCAAGTCGTCAAAAATTGCCATCTCATCTTCGGTTGATAAATTATTGTCCAACTTCATCTTTTTATTATTGCTTGTATTTTCGTTTGTACCAATAGATGTAGAAGCTCCAACGTTGAATGATGTGTTGATAAAATTAGCCAATTCTGATGGTATTTTAAAATCTCCGTCCTTCTGCATTTGCAAAAGAGTATCTAATGCAGCATCAAAATTATTAATATTCAACCTTAATATGTTTGTGGCTAATGTTTCATCAAACCCAAAAGCTTTTAGCTGTTATAAAATATTTAAAGTCATTAAATTTGGATTTTTAAATAATTAAATGTCTGATAAACTTACTTTTTCGATTAATTCATGGTCGGGTTTAATGAACTGTAGCATCTCTTTTTTCAATTGATCACCTTCATTTTGTAGCAAATTGATTGCTTCTGTTATATCGTTATTTGACTTTTGTAGAGCCATTGCAGCTGATTCTCGAGAAAATCCCATATCCGTTAATTTAGTAACGTCTTTTGGATTAACATCGAAACCAAGGCTTTGTAAACATTTACCGAGATATCTTTCCTTTTTACCAGTGCTTCGTGCTTTTTCAATTTTTTGCCTCTTGTCTAAAATCGAGTTGATGGCTGCGTCAATTGACAAGTTGCAAGTATTCCTCAATCCAACAATAGCTTCACTTCGACTATATCCCATTTCAACAAGCATTAAAACTTTTTCATCATCAATTTTTAATTCTAAGATTTCTTGTTCTGCCATAGATAAGAATACAGATGCTTCGCTACGTCTGTTCTGATGAAAGTTTAAAACAGCTTTCAATAATTTTAAGCGCACAATTAAGCACCTTTCAGACATGTCTGAATTTTTGATTGATTTTACGCGTTCAAAATTTTGACCATAAGTTCGTTTGAAACTATCTTCACACACTTCTAATCTTCTTTCTGCATCAGGTAGTTGCATTATGCTTTTAAGTTGTAAATAGCACCAAACAATATCTAAATTTAACAGTGCAACGTTATCGATACTTTTAAGGATTGAAGCATTGCAGTTTTTAATTTCATTATCAGCTTCAAGGAATAATATCAAAGCCTCGTTGTAGTTTTCCTTCTTAAGTTGAACACGGCCCTTCTCGTAAAATAAAAGCCCCATCATTAAGGCTGTTCGTTCTACTTCAGGGAGATGAATAGCTTCTCCATTTTGATTTTCGAGCTGATCATTAACGATTAAGAAATAAACATAATTTTCTTTAGAACATATAAGTTCCTCACCTTAAAGTAGTCATTTTTGGAATTCTTTATTAGAACTTCAGCATCTTTTCTGATTTTTAATACCCGATCGTAAATCTCAGTTTCAGCTTTCGCTTCATCTTGGTCAATTTTCATTTCCAACGCCATAATCTGCTGGAAATTTTTCACATTTTGCTCTGTTAACGTCTTTTGATGAATCAAGACCCTTCCTCCACTAATTAATTTTATTCGATTGGACGGAATATTCAACTCCTCAGATACTAACGTTAATAGGCTTTCTGTCATGTCTGAAAGCTTAACTTTGAGTGACAACAATTTAGTTCCTCCAGCAGAACGATTACATGGCACTCTTACTTTCAGTGTTGCAACGCCTAGAGAAATTCTATTAATATAAATGCACTTAGTTTTTCAAAATTTGATGAAATACCTTCTTTCCTTAATTCCTCATTTGATTTTAGTTTATCTAGTGCATGATCTTGAAGTTCGTTAAGTGCAGCTAAACAATAATCATATTTGATATTCAATGTGTCACTAAAATTACTTGCCAGATTCTGAGAGCAAAGAAAAATTCATCATTATTAGGGTGACCATCAGGACACAAAAGAAAATTTGAAAATTAACGGAAATTTTCGTGAAAAGATTACAAGACCTGGAACAAAATTTTCAAATTTATACAGGACAGGGTTTTGAAATACAGGACTGTCTGTTGTAAAACTACCCAGATGGTCACCCTAATCATTATTTACGTTTACAACGTAACAAGTCGTGTCAGATTTCTTACCATCATTTCTGTGTCATTCGATGACGTATTTAAGTAATATGGTACTTCCCATAGCTTGATTCCGTTCCTTTGAAGTGCATCTCTAACTTGTATCAAAATACTTTCAAAAGTCAATTCACTCATCTTAAAATTTTAAAGAAAAATGATTTTCTTCCAACGTAAATGCTGACAAAAACAAAACAAAGAAATAAGCTGAACGTTGATTCCGCGCGTTTGGTGCTCAGCTTTAATATATGGTTGTATTGTAGTAAACACATGATTAAAGTACTACATTTAAACATCGAAATATCATATGTTTACCGGTCGATTCTATATCAGAACCAGAATGCGCATGTGTATACACAGAGTTTGAGAATGTTGCATAGTATTTTAATTGTACCATAACACACAGATTTTTAATTAATTTTCAATACAAAAACCCTGTGTATTTTGCAAATACAGAAACAAGTTAGCCTTCTTCAAATTTCATTTTGCAGTCACATCAGTTCTATCTCTTCATCAGTGTAGTTCGAAAGAGCAAAATTTGAATTTTTAAATATTAATAATTTAAAATGGATCTTGTACCTTAGTGAAAAAATATTGATATTGATGAAATAATAAATTAAGTAGCAAATGATTTTCAAAAGACCTCGAATAAGTGTCGAATCATTAGATTTTTAGAAAATAATTCTAAGTAAAAGTATTGCATCATAAAAAATAGAAATTAAGTGCATAGAAAATGGAATCATGTGAATATCAAATTGTGGGTTCAGGCCAAACCCATTCTGATGGTAAGAAATCGAAATTTCTAGAATAATCATTTTGAGAATCAAATTTTTGATTTAATTAATATACAACATAAGTCATGCAGCATTGTGAAATATAGACACGGCCTTGGGTTTACTACTCGAAAATTTTCCTCTATTATTATACTAATTATTTTGTTCTGTAAAATAAAATATCATTCTTTGCATGATGAAAACAGATAAGCAATTATAATTGATGTTTTAGTTCCATTCCATTCAATTTATGAATCAATTTCATCGAACTTGGGATTGTTTAGATTCTTCACCCGCTGACTTTTTAATTTTTCGTTTACGAAAAGAACGCAAATAACAAACTCGCGAAAGATTTGAAATTATGATCACTTATTGACGTCACTAAGCATCTGCTCAGGCATGGTGTGTTAATAGATTGTCGTAGGTTATGGTCAATATAATCTACAAATCATTGAGTCCACAACACTTGTACATACATATATAAATTGAATGTAGTGAGAAAATCCAACACGAACAATGTGTTTGATTGAAAAACTTATCAGCTACTCACGTGAGAATTGATTTTTTGTTTACCTTTTTCTATAATATGTATATCTTCGTCTTATTGCCGGCTAAACCGAAAAATTCTATTTACTCGCTCGCGATAGAAAGCATGCTCGTAGAAAATAAAATACTCACATATGAGTCGAAATATGCAATATCAAGTTCAGCTCGTTGTTCAGTAGTTTTTAGTCCGTTCGTGAGTTTAGAAGTGAGGAAAAGGGAAAACAGGAAAAACGCGAAGGTTAATATTAGTTGTTATGAAGTGAAAGCTATACTTATTGATTTAAAAAAAAATTTTTGAACAACTTTTTGACAATTGGTGTGACTTAATTTTCATAAATATTGAATTGTATTGAAACGTTTTAATGATGCAAGGATAGACAGGGATCAATCTTATTTGTCCACAATTATAAAAAAAGTTTTTAATAAGTTAAAAGTCATTGTATAAGTATTTCAGAGTGCCATCACAGAAGTTGGTCAAATTGTATGAAAAACTCCCAAGGATTTAAAACTTTCTAATCAATTCCTAGCTTTCAAATTTGCAAAATTATTTTACTTCTAATTCAGAACTAGAATGTGCTTCATCATGTAGCTGTATTATTATTATTATTATTATTATCACTTGTTATAAACAATTCAGTTCTACATGTTTCTCTTAATATTAATAATAATATGATAATTAAAACCACTTTGCTTCATCTACATGTTATTAAAATGAAAAATTATTGAAATTAATAACTAGAAGCCATCATACTAGACTTTAGGAAATTAAAATTAATTTGTGTTAAAGAATTTACGGCCTGTTTCACTAAGGTGGATTATCCACCGATCGGATTATCCACTTTTTCAATCCGAGGATAATCCATGATTTTTTTTAATTCGTTAAACTGCACGGTGAATCAGAAAAAATAGATTTAAAGAAAATAATTTTTTGACGATGGATTTCACAAAAAAAGATTATCCTAGTAGGTGGATTATCCGAAGATTATCCTGAGATTATCCTAGGATTATCCACATAATTATTCTAAAATGTTAAAACTGGGTCCCCCCAAGATTGAAAATTCAGATAATCTTCAGGATTATCTTAGGATAATCTCAGGATAATCCATATACTAAAATTATTTTTTCGCTATATTCACTATAAAGAAAAAAGATTTTTTATCAAACTGTTCTGATTATTTTTAACCAATTAATTCTACATCAGAAAAAAATTATTTGGATTTTCCACGTATCGAAGAAATAGATAATCCTAAAATGAGGATAATCCACCTTAGTGAAACAGGCCGTTACCTCTTAGAGTGGGCTGAATATTCGAAAATTGTGTGAAATTTGATATTTTTGTAAGCAATCATAATTTTTCTAGTGAAATGAGGACTCATAAAAAATTTGTCAATACCTTTCTGACCTTGAGTCGTACACACAATTATGGACGATAAGTATCAGAAAAGTCTATGACAGGAAATGTTTGATTCAGGACAAGTTGATTTTTTCATTATGAAAAGCACTAATGGTGTGTAAGATTTGTTGTTCAAGATTTAAATTCTATTCAAACCTTAGTGCAATAATTATCAAGCGAAGATCTAGTTTTTTTTGTCAGAAAGCATTAAAGAATTGCAATAAGAACAAAATAAACATTTCTAAGCTGAATATTGTTTACTGAATATTGAAAGCTTTGTTAAGGCAGTCTGTAATTTAAATTCATATTTATTTTGTGATAAAAATATTGTGAATTATTCAGATAAAATAGAGCAAGCTACGTACTTTATTGCTTTAAAATGCGAATAATAACAATAATAATAACGTTCACTTATGACGTCCAAGGGGGGGGGGGGGGGGGGGGGGGGGGTCAGCAAAAAAAACAATAGAAATTCCTGAAAATTCATTGTTCTTTTATGAAAAATGACCGTTAAATTCGGACGTCATAAGTGAACGACCCCTAATCATTTAAAATAATTTAAACTTTAAGTTTTCAATGTTAAGCTTTAATGATCATCTAGCGAACCTTCTTAAGGTATATTGCATAATGAAGCAGACATTGTATTGTGTTTCAAATATTTTGAGTGGCATAAAACAGTCATTTTGTTGCAATTGAGTTGGATAGTAAGGATTGTAGATCAAGTCATTTATTTTTAATTTACAATTTCCATTTCTTCTATCTGTGACCGATGATCTTGAGTGTTAAAAGCATTACTTCATGTTTTGATTATCAAGGACATAAAAAGTTTTAAAATGCTGAATTTTTATTATTTTAATAACTGGCTGATTTGAATAACAGTTACGAAAGGATCAATAATACTAATTAATGTTCATTATTAACAATTCATGCTGGTTATTGTTGTAAACTGCTCATAAAATAACTTGATTATCAATGATACGCAAAATCAGACTCACCAAAGCTAAATTGATCAATTAAACTGAAATTTGACTAGCATCAATCCATTAACAGAATTAATTTCTATTTATTTAGAAGGTGACGTGAAGATGACGTCAAAATGGGTAATTATCTACCTATGAAACATTAAACATCAATTAAATAACTTTATTTTTCCATCTAGGCCAAATTTCGATTGTTAATGTGGAAGAACTACTTGCTTCAATATCGTCATCCGTTTCAAACAATTCTCGAAATCGCTATACCAGTATTATTCTCCGCATTATTGGTGCTTGTAAGAAGTTTAGTTTCACCTGATATAATCTCAAATTCAACCATTTATTCACCATTACCACTGAACGATATTAGAGACACGCTGTAAGTTTCCATTATTTATGAACAATTAGAATTAATTTTTAATTATGTGAACTTTCCTCAACTTTCACTTTTCAGCGATGCCAGAGGACAGCTTTTGTTTAAAGTGTTGTCATTGTAAGTTGTTCACATTTTCTTCCTTAACAAATCAATTGATAATTGATTCTTTATTTGACAGCAATAAGAACATAAATATTTCAAAGTATACAAACTTTTCAAACGAAATCGTCTACTCGCCTAAGAACAATGAACTTGAAACTTTGATGAACCATGTTGGCGACTTTGTAAAGCCTTTACTCAAAATCTCATCTGTGCCTTTGTCCGATGATCTTGCTCCTTATCTTCGCCAGCAAAATGCTTTTGTTGGAATTGAATTTCCAGACTCGTACCAAAATATAACAGAACTACCAGATGATCTCGACTATAGCGTTAGATATCCTGGCGAATTAAGGAGAACCAACAATGCAATTAATCCTCTATTTCTTAATTGGAGAACTGACTTCCTTTTTCCACTATTTCAACCTGGCGGATCTAGAAACTACAAAGATGATCATGATGGAATTCCTTCCGGATACTACATTGAAGGATTCCTGTTTCTTCAGCAATTCATTTTTAAATCATTCATGATGATGAAGAATAGTCTGAATATTGACTTAGATCAAGTGCCTAAAATCAACATTAGGGTAAGTCCTTCATATCTTTAAAACAAGGCTAGTATCTATAAATGTCATACATTCTACAGAGATTTCCATACCCACCGTTCGTCTTGGATATTCTCTTGCAAGGACTTCAAGCTCTAGTTCCGTTGTTTATTCTACTAAGTTTCGTATATCCATGCATCAACATAATAAAATATATAACGACCGAAAAGGAGAAGCAACTGAAAGAAGCTATGAAAATAATGGGATTGGATGTAAGTGTTGAAATTGAGTATAAAAGGAATATTAATGTCTTATTGATTTTTTTCTCCACTAGTCGTGGCTACATTGGGTCGCATGGTTTGCAAAATGTTTCGTCTACATGCTTATAACGGTGACCTTGATGGCTATCTTGTTAAAAGTTCAATGGTACGGAAAGGACAATCCAAATTCAGTATTTACACACAGCTCAGGAACAGTTTTGTGGTTTTTCTTGCTGATATACAGCATAACAACTATAATGTTTTGTTTCATGTTAAGTGTATTTTTCTCGAAAGCATCAACTGCTGCCGCAGTAGCAGGTCTAGTTTGGTTCTTGATATATGCTCCATATACACTAGTTCAACAGCGATATGACAGCATTACATTAACAGCAAAGCTGTTTATGAGTTTTTTGTCAAACACAGCAATGTCTCTTGGATTTAATGTTATTTTACGATACGAAGGATCTCAGGAAGGAATACAATGGAACAATATTTTCCAGCCTGTTTCTATTGACGATAATTTACATCTCGGTCATGTAATAATTATGTTATTAGTCGATGCTGTCATTTATCTTCTTATTGCATTGTATGTTGAGAAAATATTTCCTGGCGATTATGGCGTGGCAGAACCTTGGAATTTTCCATTTACTACGAAGTTCTGGCTCAAAGTCCCTGAATATATTGGAATTCAAGACATTAATGGAAATGGCGCTCATCATGTGAATCCAAACTATGAGAATGAACCAAAAAATAAATCGGCAGGCATAAGAATTCAGAATCTCAGGAAAGTTTTCGATAAAAATAAAGTAGCAGTTGAAGGATTAAATCTTAATATGTATGAAGATCAAATAACAGTGTTACTTGGACATAATGGTGCTGGAAAAACAACAACTATGTCAATGTTGACAGGCATGATTCCACCAAGCTCAGGAACGGCTATTGTAAATGGAAAGGATATAAGACGAGACATAAATTTCATTCGTTCATCTATAGGATTTTGTCCACAGCACAATATTTTATTTGAGGATCTCACAGTAAGAGAGCACATAATATTTTATAGTTTATTGAAAGGATTACCTAAAGAAGATGTCGACCGAGAGGTTGACAAGTATGTCAAGCTATTAAAACTCGAAAATAAAAGAGACCTTCAAGCTCGTGGACTTTCTGGTGGCATGAAGAGAAAACTATCTGTTGGCATAGCACTTTGTGCCAACTCAAAGACAGTATTATTCGATGAACCAAGCAGTGGAGTTGACCCGGGAGCACGAAGAGATTTGTGGGATTTATTGCAGCAAGAAAAAGGAGGCCGAACAATTTTATTATCGACTCACTTCATGCTAGAAGCTGATGTTCTGGGAGATCGAATTGCAATCATGTCTAATGGAAAATTGAAAGCTGTTGGATCTCCTTTCTTCTTAAAGAAACATTTTGGTGTTGGATATCATTTAGTGTGTGCAAAGAAAGATGCTGGAACTGATTCAAACAAGGTTACGCAGCTTTTACAAAAGTATATTCCGGATGTAAAGAAGGAAGGAGAAATTGGGACCGAACTATCATATCTTTTGGACGATCGCAATGTCTTGGTTTTTCAAAATATGCTGCAAGAGTTAGAGACAAATTCTGAGGAACTGAATATTGAGAGTTATGGAATCTCATTAACAACATTAGAGGAAGTGTTTTTGAAGTAAGTGACGGAAAATGTTTAAACTTAAAATATTCCAATGCTTAAAAAAACTTAATTTAGGGTTGGAACTGACAGTCCAAGTGACGAAAACGGAGAAGCTAAAGCATCGCCAGCAAAAATAAATGACAATCAAAATGGACATGTGAGCACAGTAGAAGAAGGCACCAATTTCTGTAATTATAGCCAATTTATAGGCATAGAATATTGAATTATTGACATTTTGTGTTCTTGATTTTGCAGATAATTACTCTGACACGCTAACTTTACTAAAAGGACCGAGCTTGTATATAAACCAGTTTTTGGCACTACTAGAAAAGAAAATACTTCACACATGGAGGAATCTCATTTTATTTATCATACAGATTCTCATTCCTATAAGTTACGTGACTATAACAATCGTAATTGTTCGCTCATGGGGTGGAAACAAGGACTTACCTAGTCTTGAATTATCGCTTAATACTTATCAGCCGACTCACACGACAATTCAATTTGATCCTAAAGTTTGGGCTGATTCGATTGAGAACAAAATTTTTGAGAATTATCGTCAACAGTTTATTGATCTTTCAAATGATTCTAAAACATGGGAAGTAATTACGGGCGACATGAATGAGCATTACTTGGAAAAGACTAAAAAGTTCCTTATTCGCATGAATAAGCGAAACTTGTTTGGCGCAACTATCGAAAAACCAAACATCACCGTAAATAATTGCATGACAATCATCTGTTGCATTTAACACTTATTGTTTTTTTTTTCAATCCACAGGTATGGTTCAATAATCAACCGTATCATACAAGTCCTATAAGTTTGGGTCTTGTTCATAATGCAATTTTGAGGACAGTCTGTGGAAAAAATTGCAGCATTACTGTGTCTAATAAACCACTACCATATCGAGCAGAGTCTAGGGTAAGGAATCTGATTTATTTGGTTTTATAAATATTAGCTAATGTATTGCAATCCTTTAGATGATGATGCTTCAGGCAGGAAATAACCTAGGATTCCAACTCTCATTCAACATTGGGTTTGCAATGGCATTTGTGGCTTCATTCTTCATAATTGTCTACATTAAGGAACGTGTCACTAAGGTATGTACTTTAATTCATCTTAATCTCATTTTTATTCCATTTTTACTCGTCAACAGTCAAAGCATCTCCAATACGTAAGCGGAGTCAGTTCAGTCACATACTGGACAAGTGCATTTGTTTGGGATTTCTTGTTATTCTTGCTGATAGCACTGCTGACAACTGGAACAATTGGAATTTTCCAGGAAAGTGGATATAGCACGTTTAGGCAGTTAGGAAGAATTTATTTCCTTCTCATAATGTTTGGATTTGCAGTACTGCCATTCCTCTACATTGCTGCTTTCATGTTCCAAGGACCTGCATCTGGATTCATAAAAATGTCAATTTTCTTCATCTTCTTTGGAACTGCTATGTATACAGTTGTGTTTTCAATGAGATTTGAGGGATTCAACTTGAAGCACGTGGCAGACACTCTGACATGGATTTTCTTAGTGATCCCACACTTTTCTTTAAGTAACGGACTGAGTAACATGAATTTAATTAACGTGTTTGCAGAAGTTTGTGATCAGCAGTGTAAATTACTTGGAATTTGTGAGAAGGAGAAACAGTGTGCTATTAATCCTAGATGTTGTAGTAAGTTATCATGATTATTTAAATCTCGATAATTGTTTATAATAAAAAAATTATTTTCTCCATACAGACCTTGATTATTTCGCATGGGTAAGTAAAGTAATTTGGACATTAAACATTTACAAACTTAAAATAAATTATTTTTAATAGGAAGAACCTGGAATTTTGAGAAACATTGTTTACTTCATAGTCGTTGGAATTGCAGCATTTGCTGTTTTATTCCTGATTGAGTTTAGAGTATTTGAAGTACTTTACTACTATATTCGAATGATGTATCGCACTATTGTTGGACTTGTTGCTCCAAACTTGCTAAAACGACCACCGAATTTTGGTGAAACAGAAAATGACGATGAAGATGTACAACACGAAAAAGAACGTTTAAACAGCATGTTGACTTCGGATTATGAAAACTATAATTTAGTCATGAAGAATATGTCAAAGTACTACAAAGATCTTCTTGCCGTAAATCAATTATGTATTGGTATTCAGTCATACGAGTGTTTTGGTCTATTAGGTGTGAATGGCGCCGGCAAAACATCAACATTCAAAATGTTAACTGGTGACACGAAAATATCAAATGGTGAAGCTTTCGTACAAGGAATCAGTTTAAAGATGAATATGAAGGAAGTTCATAAACGTATTGGATACTGTCCACAATTTGATGCATTGATTGATGATCTAACAGGACGGGAAACATTGAAGCTTTTTGCATTGTCACGTGGTATTCCAACGAACAAATTAAGTGATGTCATTGCTAAACTTTCAGGTGATCTCAACTTCACACAACATCTTGACAAGCAAGTCAAAGCTTACAGCGGTGGAAATAAGAGAAAGTTGAGCACAGCAGTTTCTCTTCTTGGAAATCCTGTCATTGTTTATTTGGATGTACGTTTCATGGCATTATTAAAATTTTATAATTGTGACGCTTAACTTTTTAGGAACCGACAACAGGTATGGATGTTGGAGCCAAACGCAATCTTTGGGATGTTATGTGTAACGTGAGAAATGCTGGAAAAACAATAGTTTTAACAAGCCACAGTATGGAAGAGTGTGAAGCACTATGCACAAGACTGGCAATTATGGTCAATGGTCAATTTAAGTGCCTTGGATCAACACAACATTTAAAATCAAAATTCGGAAACGGCTTTGTCTTAACAATTAAAGTCAAACGTTTTTATAATGAGCAAAATAATAATAATGATACTAATGAGGAGATTGCAAGATCGGAATCAACAGAAATGATAAATGAAAGGAATGCAGTCAAAGATTTTGTAGAGCAGGAATTCAGTGGAGCTGTTCTAAAGTAAGTTCCTATTTTTTTTTTATTCATAAAATTGTTCTTATCTAATTGTAACGTTTAGAGAGGAATATTATGACATGCTAACGTTCCATGTGCCAGCTCATGACATAAAATGGTCTCAAATATTTGGCACACTTGAGAGTGCCAAGAAGCAACTAAGTATTGAAGACTACTCGATAGCACAGTCGACACTAGAACAAGTTTTCTTACTTTTCACAAAGTATCAGCGAGAAAGTGATGATTAGGTGATTGAGGAACGAAACCAAAAAGAAATTTAGGATAAATTTAAATATTTACTGGGATTATGATATTTATTTGATGTAGTTTAATTTATATTTTGTGATAAATGTCTGATTGAATAAAATTTACGTATCTAAAGTATTTAACGGTTTCTTAAATTCAAAATAATTGTCAAATGTTGTGAGCATCACAAATGTTGGCAACGTAGGGGAAATTTTTCTCTCAAATCGAGCAGGTTTTTCGAACGCCTCAATTTTCCAATAAGAAGGTCTAGAAAACAAACTTACAAGATTATAAGATTCAAAAATTAATTGGAAAATGAGTGCAATTAGCACGTTGGAGAATCGTTGTCGAATTTGTGCTTTACTATTTAGCGACTTAACATGTGCAATACCAATTTTTGGACAAACTTCAGCAAACTTTTTTCTTCAAAGAAAAATAGAAAAATATCTTTACATTACGGTGAGTTATTTATTTTTAGCATAATATTTTCTTTCACAACTATGACATTTAAAATGTTTAAACAATTTAAATTTGAGCTGAGTTGTTTGCTGTATTACTTTATCATTAAAAATTCCTACTAAGTTTTGTAACGTTTTATAGTGAAAACTGTTGGGAAAAAGTGATAAGAAATTAGATCATTCAAAAATTTGTTAAATCTATAATGATTTTTTTTTTTTGATATTTAAACTATTTTTATGCTGCATTAGTTGTTGTATATTTTGCATAACACACAGCAATTTGAAGGCCTTTCATTTTTTTTCTCTCTCTCTTGCTTCTTACTTCATGCTTTGTTTCATTTTTTTTTTCGTGTATACGTATATACATTTTTCCACATTTTTCCACATACGTAAGTGAGAAGAAGAAAAAAATAACATTGAGAAGATTACTACGCATATTGAACGAAAGAAGAAAAAAAAGTAATACTGGAACCAGTTTTTTTCTGTAATTTTATTTTATATACATTTTTCTTTTTTTTTTTTTTGATTACTTATGCAACTTTTTCCCTCTCTGCTCTGTATTTCTCTTAATTCTTTATGATATTTTCATCGTTTTAGGTGCTCGAAGAGGATTTGTTGCCGAAAACAATATGTGCAACCTGTTTTCTTAAAATTGAAAGCATTGATAAATTTGCATTTTCTGCGGCTAAGAATCAGGAATGCTTTTTGCAATGGCTTAAAACTAATCAGCAAGCGAAACTAGATGAGAATAATATAACACAAACAACAATTGAAACGTCAACAAATTCAGATTTTAGTTTTAGTAATATAACGATTAAGAAGGAGTTTAATCATCGACAACAAATTGTTATTCAGCCTCAAAAGTCTAGAAATGCACGTCATGTTGATCACATTACATTAGAGCAGATTATTAATGATCAAATCATTAAGAATCCTAAACTGCCGGCAAGTACAACGATAACGAAAATTGACGAGTCTACTAAAAGGCAACGTGTACAAAGTCAACAGCAGCAAAAAAGCGAAGCAACAAACATTTCAATTGTTTCATACAATAACTTACAAATTGGTCAAGTTATAAAAGATTATGAGTTGTTAAAGTTAATACTGAGAGCTTTAAAATGGGAAGAATTCGATCGCAAGGCGAGTTACAATGAGCTTATAGAGCGCTTAAAGCGGTCGCATTGTCGTGACATATTAACAAATAAAAACTTACTATCCGACAATGATGTTGTTCAGTTATTACGGTCATACGTAAATGATTCTATGCTTTCGAGCTTTAAAGCGCAACAAGTGACACCGCATCAAAATATATCGAAAATTTTTGTCACCCAACCTGTTAATCAACCGCTTGTTATTTCATCACCACAACAACAATCTTCACCATCACAGCTTCGAGTGCCATCCACACAAATTCCAGCAACGAATGTGCCAACTAAAAGTTCACCTCAAAAGAGTCAGTTACAAACACAAGAAAAACCTCAAATACAACAGCATGAAATGTCTACAGCTAGTAGTGAAGAAGCAATGGAAGTTTCAATCGATCCTGAAATGTTCTTAGCTATAAACGAGGAAACAGTAACTATAGATGATGATGAGGAGGATGAAGAAGATGAAAATACTACATCTGCTGTTGAAACAAAAATAGAAACTGCAAAGTTGGTCGAAAAAGAAGACACAACCACAACGAGCGAAGAAAATGTCGGTAACAATGGAAATTATATATGTTCGTCATGTCCGAAAGAGTTTACATCCAGTACGGACTTACAGAACCATGTTACTGACCATTTAATTACAACGGCTGCAATTAAGAATAATGCAGAGCAGTCAAATAGCACAGAGAAAACGACAGTAGTACAACAGAAGGTAACAAGAAGCAGCGTAGCTGAAAGATTGTTAAAAAAGAGGAAGGAAAATGATCGATTAAAATCGAGAAGGAAGAAAATTGTTATAAGAATTAATCCGAGCCCCAAACGAAATATCAGAGAAAGAGCCAAGTCAACACCATTCGTTTGTCTAATCTGCAAGAGGAACTTATCGTCAAAACGAAATCTTACATTACATATTGATACCCACAAGAATAAGAATGGAAAATTTCCATGTGATGGAGACGATTGTAGAAAGATCTTCGCCAAGATTGAGAATCTAGTGAAGCATAAGCTGGAAGCCCACGAGAAAGCTTCAAAGCGCAAAAAAAATCAAAACGAGAAATAAGAGAATATTTGTTTTTGAACTATTAATAATATTATTTTATGTTTAGCTCGTAACTTCTTAAAGATAAAACAAAACGATATAAGAAAATTTTTGCTAATGTTTTTGCTGTAAAAATTTCTTTTTCTGTGATAATGTCATGTTTATTCTACAAAACATATGATGAAGTAAATAAATGTTTATACTATGCATTAAAATAATCTTTATTATTATTTATTTGGGACAATTCTTAGTTCTATTTTTTGTCGTAGTTGAGTTCAATCATTTTAAATAATTGCTAATGATTGTCTGCTTATCAGCTTACAAAGTCAATCATAATATTGGTTCTAAATCACTAGTCTGAGGATTTAAATTCTTAATTCTAGTCAATTAAGGCATATACACTCAACATTAATCGCAAAGCTAATTATTAGCTTTAGGGCGGATTTCAAGTGTAATTTGTAAAATCATGAGATTTTAGGATTAAGGTCTAGTTTTTAAGCCTTGCCTAGGACTAAAAAATTAATAATATTGGATTAAAAATATAATAATAAAATGATATCACAATCCCGCCTTACTTTACAGAGAGTCAACTAATATTATTATTCTAATAAGAAGAGAGAGCGAGAAAAGTTGGTGAGAGCACTAGCATTAACACGAGTGAGTGTACGAAGAGTACGTTTAGAAAACAGCAAAGTTTAGTTTGGCAGTGATACATGATAGAACAAGGTCAAATCAGCGAAAAAAAATATATAAAAAATATGATATAAAATAAATAATAAAGAGCAGTAGAAAGTGGAACATGAAATGCGTGCATAACATAGAACCGAGCTCAGCATAAAATACATATTGGTCTCTCGCGAATTCATTCACAATTTTGATTTCATTGAGTTAACATCAACTTTTTTTCTATTCTGTCGAATTTAATTTTTTTTATTTGACTTGTGCGATTGTAAGGAATAAGAGTTCTTATCTTAACCAACTGACACTGTAATTTGTTCTCTATCAAAATTCCGAAAAAGTGGATAGAACGTTTTATCATCGACTTATTGCCGTGTGGATCAAGTAATAGTAATCCAGCGACAATGACAACTACTTGTGAAGATAATAATCTAAACAATGCTGACAGCGAGACATTCTCCATCTCAAATTACCGTCGCGACTCGTCACATTGCTTCTATCAAAATCGAGGTATGATCTTTTATGATTCATGTTAAAATAATTAAATTAATCTTAATATTATGCAATTTCCAAATAAATCAACAGTTATACAACCTTTACTCACTGGTAAGTGCCATTCATAAATCTACTCTTATTATTTTCTTATCAGCCGGGACTTATCAAAGTTTATATACACTTAATTCTCTTAATATTATGTAGTGATAATGCAGTTCAAATCAATGCTCTCACGTTTTTCTAAATGTCATGATATCAATTAATTATAAATATTTAAATTGTTTCTTGCTCATTCATACATCCTCTTCTCGTTCTATCTACTTTAATTTTTGAACATTATCTTAATTTGACAGTCGCGCAATAATTTTTTTGGACGTTTTTTGTTTTTTGAATAAATTCAAGTTCTAAATTTGTGAATGTAGTTTAATTATCATACGAATATATCGACTTTAAAGTCACGAAGTCTATAGGCAGAAATGACGTTATTTGCTTCGATGTCGAATGAAATTCTAATTTATTGTTATTTTATGTAGATCTATATCAAATTACTATGGCTTATGCTTACTGGAAGTCTGGCAAAACTCATGATGTTGCTGTCTTTGACTTATTCTTTCGAAATAATCCATTCCATGGAGAATTTACAATTTTTGCTGGTCTTGAAGAGTGCTTGAAGTTCTTGAAGAACTTTCATTATTCAGTTGGAGACATAAATTATTTAAAGACAGTCCTTCCAGATGGCGTTGAGGAGGAGTTTTTCGAGTATTTGGGTAAATTGACAGCAAAGGAAGTTACTGTTTATGCTCTAGATGAGGGATCAGTGGCATTTCCAAGAGTTCCATTGATTAAGCTTGAAGGTCCTCTCATCATTGTTCAATTATTGGAAACGACACTTTTGACATTAGTTAACTATGCCAGGTAAATATTAATCACATGTTGGATTAATAACATGACATTTTATCATTAAATTAATTTTTATTACGTGTACAGCTTAATGGCAACAAATGCAGCAAGATACAGAATAGTTGCAGGACCAGTCGTAAAGCTATTAGAATTCGGCCTACGTAGAGCTCAAGGACCCGATGGAGGACTCTCGTCATCAAAATATGCTTACATTGGTACGTACATGAGCTTTTATTTTTCATATTAAAAAAAAAGTAGAAAAAAAACAATATTGATGACTGATCGCTATAGTAACAGTTGAAGTTTATTTATGGTGTAAAGCTTTTTAAATGCACCTGAACTTTTACAAGTGGTGCCAATTCGATATTATTCATTCGATGGTATTGCCAAGGTCATCATATGATTTCAAAAACGACATGAAAGTTTTTCTGAAAATATTCATAAAAGTATGGAAATTTTTTCTTTGACTGACTATTTTTTTTGCAATGACCATGAAAGTTATTCTGTACACGATTATTCATGCTCACGGGCATTTATCACACATATTTATGATTCTGAAGTGTTTGATGGTGCCACTCAATTTCGAACTTTATACATTAAGCACAAAAAGATTTTGTTTTATAAAAACATTGGGAAACATGCAAAAATGAATATGATGTGTATCGTTCAGGATATTAAAAATTGAATGATAGAAACCAGCACCATCTAAATCACCATTATCATCATCATATAAATTTAATATTTTGGAAGTTGAAGCATGTATATTGCATGTGTATCCAATACCTTTAGTAAACTCGCTTAATAAACAACTAGCTTTTCAGTAGGTTGTTCCTTTTAAATAACGTGATTCCTTCATTTGATTATGTGATGGTACGCAGTGGCACGAATTCGTAGAAGAAGTCAAGAATGAAAACAGCTGAACGAAAAATGTTCACTTTTGTTCGTGTGTTGCAAATTTTTAATTTGAACCTTTCATTCATTTCCACAAAGCGCGATAAGAAGAAATTAAAGGAACTAAGTGAATGAGAACTTGAGTTCTTACTATGCTGATCATTATTGCTCAACTTAATTTCTTGCATATTCAAAAGTATAAAAAAGACAAATATTTTCATTATTAGTTTATGTATGCATGTCGTGTGTAAAGCAAATTGCTGACTCTTTTGGACACTTTAAGTAGAACATGCTTGGTCGATAAATTGATTATGATGGAATTAATTTCTGATGTTCTCAATTCATTCTGAATAATATTGCTTATCAATGTGTATCTTCTTTTGAGTGCATTGTTTTGCTGATGAAGGCTTTGAATTAAATGTCTTAATGCAGTTTACCTAAATCTGAAGTCAAATAGTTTTTTATTTTTTTTTAAAAACCTTTAAGATTTGCTTCATACCCCCGATAAAGATTAGAATTCCTTCGATTTAATTCAATTCTGATTTTTGAAAAGATCTTCAGAAATCGTTCATTTTTTCAATAGCTCAACAAAATTCTTAGTGATCAGCAGACACAATCATTTAGTCATCGCCATAAAAATAAGATTATTACTCCTTCTCATTTGAAATTCAAATTAATTAAATTAGCATTTTAATTTGTCTGGTATCAGGTGGATTTGACGGAACTTCAAACGTTTTAGCTGGAAAATTATTCAATATTCCGGTGAAAGGAACTCATGCTCACGCCTATATAACATCATTCTCAGGCTTTGATGAGCTTACTAATAAGGAACTTCCACACAATCATTCTGGTATGTTGAAGCATTTAAATCACCAATAAGGTCAATAATTTTGAACATTTTTATTTTCTCTTTCTCAAATATAAATGCAACAGGCATAACAGCTGATTTGCTTGAACTTTCAATAGAACATCGTAGAAACTTGTCGAGTGTTTTGCATATCAGTACAGCAGAAGCAAATGACGGTGAACTTGCAGCGATGGTTTCATTTGCGATAGCATTTCCGAATGGTTTTATGGCTCTCGTGGATACGTATGATGTTAAACGGTATATTATTTGCTTTTTTTGCTTTCAAAAATCAAAAATAATAATCTCTCGGATCAATATTCTTACAAAAAAAAATATTTTCAATGATAAAAAAAATTTCAAAAAAATTCTTTTATTTCTTTCGGAAAATTTTCTATCAAAAACTTTTCTTTTTCCATTCGTTTTATACAAAATACAAAAAAAATACTAATTAGGTGTTTTGTAAAACGTAGATTCTCTGTCCAAAATACATTAAATCATCTATATGAAAGAGAAAATGGAAAGCTACTTGATCTAAATCATAATTGTGTAGATAATGTGGATATTAGTTATCCATTTATCAAACGTGTTGGGAACTCATTAAGGTAAAAGATATTGTGATTACATAAAAGTTATGTTTATGTCAATAATACTTAGGTATTTATTGAATATTTCTATTAATTTTAAAAATTAAGAATCTATGTACATGTCTTTTTACTCATATTGTAAATAACTCCTCATCATTCATTAATACTAACTTATAGTCCATTCATTTGTGCACATTAAATTCACACATTAATCTACTTAATGATTTCCCAACATAATGATATTTAATCTTATAACTTTAATGGATGGGTAAATATGAAAGTACCTTCTTTTTATTCTCTCGTCCGAGAGACAATTCTGCACACTGCATGGCAAATTTTCTTTTAACTTTTTGTTCATTCCTTTATTAATTCGCTAATAGAACCAATTTTTAACATGATAAATTTTTGTGAAATTTTCCGATGATTTAAAAAAGTTTTTTGAATAGTTCATTGAATGACCTTTTTTTTGAGAAGTTGAGGGTAGCAACCCTAATACAACAAAATTATTAATTAACATATCCATGACAAACTTTATGGATTTTGGTTTACCTTTTTTTGAACTCCTAATCCAGAAAGCATTAAACTTTTTTCTTCTTTATGATGGGGTTGATTAAAAATGAATTGACATTGTTTCTTTATTTTTGAAGAGTTTGCGAGTCATACAAATTATTGTTGTATGGCTCTTAAGATTTGTAATACCATAGATATTGATTCTTAAAACTTTATAACTTTAAAATACTAAAACCATTAAACTGCTTAATTATTTTTACATTTGTAATGTCTTAAAATATTACAAATTAGGTTCGTTACTAATTTTAATCAATCTTATCTGTTGCTAACCTTTGGAAAGTTCATAGAATTTTCAAATACCTTTTTGCTTAGACTTTTCTTAAAACTTGACATAAATTTAAATTTCCTCTATTCATCCTTTAACATTCATAGTTTCCAAAGGATTTTTTAATTCCATTTCTAAGTGGTTTAAGCACTGTTTTTCTTTATTCGTGATATTTTAAACTCTTGTAATTATCTTCTAAAATTAAATACTAAAAAAATTCTTTCTCTTTAATACGCGTTTAAACTAATAGGAGTGGTATACTAAATTTCTGTTCAGTTGCACTAGCATTAAATGATCAAGGATATAAACCTGTTGGAATTCGAATTGATTCGGGAGATTTGGCATATCTTTCATGCTTAGCTCGACAAAGCTTTGTAAAAATTGCTGAAGATTATGATCTACCGTGGTTTGCGGATCTCACAATTGTCGCATCCAATGATATAAATGAGGAAACAATTTTGAGCTTGAACGAGCAAGGACATAAGATTGACTGCTTTGGAATTGGTAAGAATCCTTTTGCTTCTTCAAATTCTATACTAAAATATTAAAATCCATTTAGGAACGCATTTAGTGACTTGTCAAAAGCAACCAGCACTAGGATGTGTCTACAAACTAGTTGAAATTAATAATCAACCACGCATAAAATTGAGTCAAGATGTCGATAAAGTAACAATGCCTGGAAAGAAGACAGCTTTTCGACTATATGGAACTGAGGGATGGGCTGTAATTGATATTCTACAAAAAGATGATGAAGAGCCACCACAAGTTGGAAAGAAAGTATTGTGTCGTCATCCTTTCCATGAATCGAAAAGAGCTTTTGTGACGCCTGCAAGGTAATTTCAATGTCTTTAAATTCCTTAATTTATGTTTAATAAAATTTAAACTTTTTTTCAGAGTTGAGACTCTCTATAAAGTTTGGTGGAAAGATGGCGCCATTCGACAGCCAATCCCAACATTAGAGGATGTTCGAAATCGTGTACAAGAATCGCTCCAAACTCTTCGACACGATCATTTAAGACACTTGAACCCAACACCGTATAAGGTAAGTTTTCATTGACATGATTCCAATATGCTATAATAATTTAATCAATTCCAATTCCATATTCTCGTTTAACAGGTCGCAGTAAGTGATAATCTCTACAACTTTCTTCATGATTTGTGGCTCCAAAATCAGCCGATTGGGGAACTTTCGTGATAAAACTGAATCCCCGGAGTCATCTTCATTATCATCCTCTCCATACCTTCATGTTCATAATTTTTCTTTATTATTTTGGATTGATTTTTAATTTCCATTGTAAGAATATTTGAGCTTGTGGTTGAGATATTAAGATAAATTTGCCAAACATCAGAGATTTCCGGGTAGTTTGTTGTGTACTTGACACAATCTTTAGGTTGTTTTGAAGAGTTTTTTGAAGAAACATGGCATGAGTTTTTTCTATGGAATTATTCCTTACTAAAAAGCTTGTGCTTTTAAGTTGTGTTGGAAATGATCAAATTAGTGATCAAAAAAAAAGTTTTTAATCATATTAGAGTTATTGACGCAAATAACGAAAGTTTGTTTGATTTTTCATAAAAGTCATATACATACGTAACACAAAGTTTGATTTTAGAGTACTTAGAGTGTGGTGAATTGATGAAAAAAAAAAGATTTTTTGAGAGGGACAGTTTTAAGATTTAATACATGATTTATATGTATACAGTAATATTGATATTAAATTATTCGGATGAATGAAATTAAGGACATGAATCTACAAACTAGACAAAGCGCACTAAAAGCAACTATAGAATGAATATACATATTCCAATTTATTAGGATAAATCAAGATATACATGCACACACACCTCAACACATTTAGCACTGGTCATAATTTTTATTCGTGATCCTTACTTTCTACATCAATATTTGACACAAATAAATTTATTAATAATCATTAAAGACATTTAAGGCATGAATGACACAAATTTACTGGTGCCTTAAGCAAGATGTTCAATTTTTAGTACAATATCGAATATTTGGAAAGTTAAACTATTTAATTAATTAAGTTTTCTGCTTACCATTATGGATTTTTTTTGTGCATATTTTTAGCCATTTATTTTAAAGATATCTTTAGCTTAGCCATTAAATTAAGTAATTGAAATTAGCAAGTAACTTTGGACAAATTCTCTGTTTAGTAAACAATATTTGTGAAAATAAATTAAGCTTTAAAAATAAACAAAATTCAAGTCTATTCTATTTTGAGCTTTCAGACACAGACAATGTAGGTGTGATGATATCCTCAACTTTGACATATCGCAGTTGATTGATCGAATCAATTGATTATTTTACAACTAAGAATATATATGGGATATTAATCATATGTCTAATGAAAAAGGCGACAAATTTGTAAATTATACATGACAATAGTAAATGAAGAAGTTTTAGGCTATGATGTCATAGACTAAAGCGCATTTGTCTCTTATAATAGATTAGTTTTTTTTTAATTTAAAAATTAAGGTAAGTTTTTGTTTACTGGAGGCTCTTTTCAATAGCTCAGTTAATATCAAGGACTTTAATCCAAAACAAAACGAATAAGAAACCAGCAGTCAAAATAAAAGCAATTCTACATTTTCTAGACAACAATAATGATTGTCAATCTAATAATATTATTGAGTCGTTAATTAGGAATTGAAAAGAAAAACAAAAATGAATAAAACGGCTCATATAAAGAACATCTTCGAACAGTCACATATTAGACATGATGAAGATTACAAAAGCAGTTTTTATAGTATTTATCCTAAATTTCACTAGTTTAAACATGGTTAGACCATGCAGGAATTCAGATTTGATTGAAATTGTTGAAGAAATTGTCAATAACAATAGTACGAAAAAGATTCAATACGTGACTTTGTTGACTACTGAAAACTTCACTAAAGATCATGAAATGAATGATTTTATCTTGGAATTAATAAAAGAACTAGCAATATCAAAAGCAATTATGAAAATGAATGAAAAATCATTGAGTAAATTATTAAAGAGACGGATTTTGATGACTTTTATGCTTCTGAACTCAAAAGAAGATTTCGAAAGTATTGTAAAAATGTTTACAAACAGCAGATTCAATTACAGTGGATATTACATAATTTTATTCAAAAATGCTGATGACCAAGAAGTTAATAAAATATTTCAAATGTTGTGGAAATTTTATATTTACAATGTAAATTTAATACGCTGCAAAAGTGAGTCAGTAATTGTAGAAACTTATGTTCCTTTTAGACCAATGAACTGCAATAAATCTGATCTTACTCAAATAGCTAAATTTGAAAATGGAGAGTTCATTACGAAACCAGATGACTTTTTCCCGAAGAAATTTAGAAATTTTCACATGTGCTCTCTTGGACTTACTACATTTGCTAGTCTCGCACCGTCAGTATTAAAAAGAGATTTTAAAAATGGATCATATGAACTCTACGGCCGAGATATTGAAACAATGAAAATGTTAGCACAAGAACTGAATTTTTATGCCAATATAACATTCCTCCCTGACTATGGAAGTTGGGGAGTACTATATCCAAATGGAACAACAACTGGTGCAATGGGACGAGCTGTTAGTAGAACGTCTGATATAGCTTGGGGAAATTTAAATTTGAAATTAGACAGAACCTTAATTATGGATTACAGCTTTGGATATTATCTCGAAACATTAATTTTTGTCATTCCAAAAGGAGAAGCTTATAGTCCTTTTAGCAAGCTCCTTCGTCCGTTTGATAACTTTGTATGGATTGCATTACTCTTAATCATTTTAATTTGTATTATCATCATCGCACTTCTCACATTACAGCCTAGAAAAATTCGAAGTTTCGTGTATGGTGAAAAAGTTTCGAATCCACTTCTTAATGTCCTTATTGCTATGTATGGAGGAGCTCAAACAAAATTACCAACTTACAACTTTGCAAGATCGTTATTGATCATGTTCTTATTATTTTGCTTAGTTCTTCGATCTCTGTATCAAGGAGCTCTTTTTCAATTTTTACAAGCTAATGATAATCAACCAGAAGTCGCCAGTATCGCAGAAATGGCACAACACAATTTTAAATTTTACATGATTCCTTCATATGATGACATGACAAAGAACAATACACTCATGAAAGGTAAGCGAGCTATAATCCAGCCAGCAGAACTGAAAACTATCATGGATAACACAATTGATGTTCAGTTTAAAGGATCTTTGCTGGTTGCTATATCAGAAATTGTTTATAAGAATAAGCTTAGAGCTCACAGTCAAGAACCGCTGTACACAGTTTGTAAGGTAGGCACACAATCTTGTAAACATGAATTTTTTACTAATTCTCTATCACTTTAATAGGAACCATTCACAATGATTCCAGTTACATTGTTTTATGCAAAAGATAGCTACCTTGTAGAGCCAATAGACGAAAAGCTAATATGGTATCAGTGTTCTGGCTTAATGGCTTACTGGGCATCAAAAGAAATGGACTCTAAATATTTATCATACAAATCTCAATCAAATGGACCAAAACCTATGGCAATTCAGCATTTTTCAGGAACATTTCAAATCTGGGTTTTCGCTTGTGCTTTATCCTGTATCATTTTTATAGCAGAGCTTTTTTGGAATGCAGGAAAGTCTAGCTTAAAGAAGAGAAAACAGAGTAGAATAGGCAGCTCATTATTTTAAATGTGAATCGAAGTTTGAAGGTGTGAGGAAGGTCATGGTTAGAATAATTTATTTCTTAATTAAAATTGTCTATGATTTATTTATTCAAGACTATGTATCCATATTGACTTAGAATAAAAGTTAAATAGTAATTGTTTATTGAAAATAATTATATCCATGTATAAATTAGTAGATAATCCAAAGAAACAGATCAAACTTTCTCATCAGAAAGTTTATGTCCTTAAATCGATTGATATATTTACAGATTAATATTACAGTATGTTAATAACTATCATTGTCAAACAATTAATACTATTGTCCATCATTACAGCCACGAGTAAATATTTTGATAGTAAAATTTTTCAATGGTGAGTAACTCTTAATTCATGGTTAAGAACCAAGCTGTTAATAAATGACATCAATAAACTTTTAGATCTTAAGTGTGTTTATTGTATTTTACATTAAAAGTTTTAGAATCACTGCAGTCGAGTTTCAAATAGTCCGAGGCTCTTTAAAAGCAATATTAGCTTTATTTATGATATAGAAAGCCTAAATATATTCTATTGAAGATTCTTTATATTTAGAAATATCCAAAATTTAAAAAACTTCCAAACTCAAGAACTCTATCCCTTGCAAGCTTATCCTTGACATTCGATAAATCAATCATAAATTTGTCATTATTAGCAGCATATAAAATTCAACAATATTATCTGAATCTTTTAAGGCTCGTGCCACAGCTAAAAGTCATTGGATACTCTTCTTGTTTATGATAAAACTAATAGTTAAAGTATACCCTTCTTATCAACATATAGCACTAGGGATGTATGATAAATTATTATCATTGTTCTCAGAATGAATAAAAACCTGTATCAAGGTTGAAAGCTTTATCAAATGATAGCTAGACACGATGAAGATTACAAGTGTGATAACTTTGATTATTCTAATGAATTTTTGTACATTTATCGTTAGCGATAACTATGAAGCTATAGGGATTATTGAAGAAATTGTTACTAGTCATGGCACTCAGGATATTTACTATGTGAATCTGTTGACATCAGATAACTATATTAAGGATAAGAATAGCATGGATTTTATGTCTGATTTAATTAAGCAGTTATCAAAATGGAAGTCTGTAATAATAATAAACGAAAAGTTCTTGAGTCGACTTTTAAAGAAAAGGATCTTGTTGACTGTAATACTTTTGAATTCATTTGAGGAGTTTAAAAAAATGGCATCAAAATTTACTCACATTCACTTTAATTTTGCTGGATATTACGTGATATTTTTTGAAAATGCTAAGGATCAGGAAGTCCACAATATATTTCAAATAGTTTGGAATCTCTACATTCGTAATATCAATCTCGTCAGGTACATTAATAAGTCAGTAGTTGTTGAAACATTCTTTCCATTCACACCTACTCACTGCAATAAGACAATTCCAGCAAAACTTGCAAAATATCAAGATGGAAAGTTTTTATATAAAGCAGACGAATATTTTCCAAAAAAGTTTACAAATCTGCATAAATGTCCAATAAAAATTGCTTCAGTCACCGCACTCTCACCATCAATAATCAAAAGAGAGTTCCCGAATGGAACATTTGAACTATTTGGACGTGATATTGAAATATTAAAAACTTTAGCACATGAACTTAATTTTTATGTCAACAATACGTATTTACATCCATGGGGAAGCTGGGGTGTGATGTCTCCAAATAAAACAATGTCAGGATCTATGGGAATGGCTCAACGACGTGCTACTGATTTTACACTTGGAAATTTAAACTTAAAACATGATAGGTTTGACATCATGGACTTCTGCTTTGCTTATTATTTGGAAACACTGATTTTTGTCATACCAAGTGGCAAGCCTTATACTCCATTTTATAAGTTACTAAGACCATTTCAAGATTACGTGTGGTTCAGTGTTCTGTTTGTCGTCTTATCATGTGTGATTGTTATTTCAATTCTATCATTCCTTCCGCAAAAGTACAGGGATTTTGTGTACGGTGCGAAAGTAAATGCTCCATTATTGAACGTTGTTAATGCTATTTATGGTGGAACTCAAACAGTCGTGCCAAAATATAATTTCGCAAGATCACTCTTGATGATGTTTCTGCTGTTCTCCTTAGTTCTGAGGTCTCTTTATCAAGGTGCACTTTTTCAATTCTTACAAGCTAATGACAACCAGCCAGAAATGCAAAATATTGAAGAAATGGCAGCAAGTCACTTTAAATTCTACATGATTCCTTCGTATGATGACATGACTAGAACTAATGTCGCAATGAAAGGTAAAAGAGTTATAATCGATCCAATCTCTGATCAAACATGGATGAAACGTTATATGGACAAAACTCTGGATTACAACTTTCTAGGAACAGTAATTAATTCAATTTCTGATGTACTGTACTTGAATAAAATAAAAGCTCATCAGAATAAGCCACTACTGACTGTTTGCAAGGTAAGTTTTGTGCTATATTTGCTGGAAATTTTTCTACAGCTATAAATAATTATAGCAACCGTTTCTGATGATTCCAATCACGATGTGGTTCCCAAAAAACAGCTATCTCGTTGAGCCTGTCGATGAAAAGCTTGTTTGGTATCAAAGTTCTGGTTTAATTGCATATTGGGCATCTAATGAAGAAGATTACAAGTATTTACATCCCGATCCAGAAATTAAAGGACCACAACCTATGACATTCACTAATTTAATAGCAACATTTCAAATTTGGATGTATGCTTGTGGACTGTCTGGTATTGTTTTCTTTGCTGAAATATTCTGGTTTATTACGAAGGAATTCTATGACAAGAAAAGGAGAAGACTACAGAAATTTAAAAGAGCAGTCAGACGTATTAAAATTATCCAGACTTTGCGTAGACCTTAGACATTATGGATTTTTATACCAAAATACAACTCGAGAACTGGAATTACAGGATTGGATCATATCGATTATTTTTTAATCTTAATATAATAAAAAAAAGCCGTTCTTAAGGACAAAAAGGTCAATGTTAAAACTAAAACAAGCTTTATTTTATCAATTATTAAGTTATCCTGTCTATAATTTACTTACTTCAAATCTGTCCTCTGATATTTGTTTAATCTTCATTAATAAATAAACTATTTATTTGATCCTCATCAAACAATTGGACATTATAGTTAAACTATGAAAGGTTTGAGCAGTGGGAGGACATTTGCAGTATTTTGTAGTTTTTGACAATTATCTTATATAAGCTTAAGACATCAAAGACAGGTAAATTTTTGTAAGCATTTTAAGCAACTAGCTTTGTTACTTAACGTTACAAATACAAAATTGGAACTGGTAAGCGCACAATATACAGATTAAACAATATCAAAGGACATTCTATAATTCTCAATCCTTGGCCTTTAAAAGAATCAATCAAAAGTTCGACAAATAAGCAGAAGAAAGATCAAATAAATTAAAAGACTTTTACTTCCACATGTCATAAATCCATTACTAATGCATTCATACTCGAAAATCTATTTTTTTTTTCTTATTCTCAAAACAATAAAAGACGCCATCAAAAAGTGAAAGTCCGTCAAAAGCTTATTGGACACTATGAGAGTCGTTAAAGTGATTTTCTTGGTATTTTTTATAAGATTATCAAAGCCAAATAAAAACTCGGAAGTGATAGAAATATTAGAACAAATCATTAGTTCTAGCAATGTTCGTCATGTCTCCTATGTGAATTTACTGACTACTGAAAGCTATGTCAGGAACACACGCATAAATGATTTTATTAATGAACTAATGCGAAAGCTTTCAAGTTTTAAATTTGTCATGAGAATTGATGAAAAATTCATTGCACGGCTTTTTAAGAAAAGGATTTTAATGACAGTGATATTAACACATTCTATGGATGATTTAATGAAGCTTATATCAAAGTTTACATATTTTCACTTTCATTACAGTGGTTATTACGTTGTAATTTTTGAGAATGCTGAAGACCAAGATGTTCATACAATATTTAAAATCTCATGGGATCTTTATATCCATAACATAAACCTAGTTCGGTATATCAATGAATCAATTGTTGTGGAAACTTTCTTTCCATTCACAGCTACTTACTGCAATAAAACAATTCCAGTGCTAATAGCAAAGCATGAAAATGGGAAATTCCAACTAGAACCCGATGATTATTTCCCTAAAAAGTTCAAAAACTTTCACAGATGTCCATTAAAAATTGCTTCAGTCACTGCTTTGTCGCCATCAATTCTAAAGAGAGAATTTTCAAATGGAAGCTTTGAGCTTTACGGGCGTGATATTGAAATGTTGAAAACTTTATCATATGAGCTAAACTTCTATGCTAATAATACATATCTTCATCCTTACGGAAGCTGGGGTCAAATGTTTCCAAATAAAACAATGTCAGGAGCTATGGGAATGGCTCAACGTCGTGCTGCTGATTTTGCGTTTGGGAATTTAAATTTGAAGTTTGATCGAACAGAAATAATGGATCATAGTCTTGGCTATACTTTAGAAACTTTGGTGTTTATGATTCCAAAAGGAAAACCAATGTCTGCTTTCAATAAACTACTCAGACCATTTGATAAGTTCGTATGGATGAGCATATTATTTGCCATTGTTGTTGCTACATTTGCTATTGCATTTCTTTCGTTACTGCCAAGAAATTTTAGGAACTTTGTGTACGGCGATCGAGTGACTACTCCATGCATGAATCTATTAATTGCGATGTATGGTGGTGCTCAAACTATACTCCCAAGATATAATTTTGCAAGATCCTTGTTAATGATGTTCCTACTTTTCTGTCTTGTTCTTCGGTCACTTTATCAAGGTGCTCTTTTTCAATATCTACAAGCTAGTGACAATGAACCAGAAGTGCAAAGTATTGAGGAAATGGTTGCTAGAGATTTTACGTTCTTTACTATTCCTTCCTATGATGATATGTTAAAGAACAACAGCCTGACAAGAAATAGACGTGCTATAATTCAAGCTACTGATATGAAAGGAGTGATGGATAGAACAGTTAATCCTTATTACGCTGGATGTGTAATGAATTCAATAACTGAAATATTGTACAGGAATAAACTAAAAGCACGCAACAGAGAACCTCTGTATACAATTTGTAAGGTAAATTTAGCATTAAAGACTATGCAACTTCTGGCTAAGAATCTGATAAAATTTTATTTTATTTTACAGCAATCATTTACATTTATTCCAATTACGATGTGGTATCCGAAAAACAGTTATCTGATTGAACCTATAGACGACAAACTTCTTTGGTATCAATGTTCTGGTCTTATACGATATTGGGCGTCAGGCGAAGAAGATCATAAGTTTCTAAATCCAAAGCCTGACCCAAAAGGACCAACTCCTTTGTCAGTAGAAAATTTCTCTGCAACTTTTCAAATTTGGTTTTATGCTTCTGGATTAGCTTGCCTAATATTTTTAGTAGAGCTATTCTGGAATGCAATATGTCGTAAATGTCTAAATGGAAAGTACAAGAAAAGAAAAAGGCAAACAAAAAGAGCAGCAAGATCCATGAAAATGGCAAGAATTAAATTAAAAGTCATTATTCCTAGAAAATTGGCATCAAAATAAAGTGTTAAGCACTTCTGATAAATTGATAATTGCCAGCTAAATAGTAATAAATCGTTTTATTCAGTTTAAATGGAAATAATTAAACATTGAATGATCATAATAATAGATTAATAACATGTAAGTTAAGCAAAAAAGTTAAGTTACATAATCACGATTTGGAGAATTAAGAAATGTAAACAAACAAACGGAGAACAATGAAAATTTAACCTAATAAAATTAATTTACGATGTAAAAACTTGAAAATATCTAGCTTATTTTAATAGCAAAAAAAGCACGAGTTTTAAAATAAACATGATTCTAGGAATTTTTTGCTTACAATTGAAAGTTTATTTTATTATTTTTTGAACATTATGTAAATAATCAATTTTAGGTTAATTTGAAGTCAATTTAAAAATTTTACAAAAAATCCAAAATCCAAGAAATTTTGTAGCAAAGTCAAGCACTTCCTACACGTCCAAATTTCATAGCAAACTGAAGCTTAATACATGAACTGCATGATTTATAAACCGAAATGTCAGAACACTCTTAATAATGCCTATTTAGAACAAACTTTATGAATTCTACATCATTAAAAATTTACTTTCTATTAATATGTCCTGACATTTTTCTGTCATTTCCTATTATTGCACTGTGATTGATATTTGAGGAAAAACATTTAGTTTACTCTTGGCGGTCTTTTGACATTGATATAAAATCTATTTTTACCGAGAAATAAGACTTTTTCTTGAGAATTATAGTAGGAGTAATAATAAAATATTTAAATTGAAGCCAGTCAATTGATTACCTTTGCATAGTAACATTCGAATATGGAAGTCTTGTGTGGATTTTTTGTAATAGTTCTCTTAATAATTCCCACAGTTTACAATCTAAAAGACAATCAGTATAAAAGATTGGCACTGATAAATGTTATTGACGAAATCATATCTAATCAAACATTCATATCCACTGTCAATTACATCGATTCCGTAAATGATTTAAACAAATACTCGGAATCGATACATCATGATTTCGTCACTGAAATATTTAAAGTTATTGGATATAAATTAGCAGTCAATGATATTTCAAGATTTTTGGATGATAAATCTGTTAAGAAGCGGTGGTTCTTCAATTTAATCAGAGTGTCAAGCTTAAAGGAATTCACAGATATTATTAGAAAATTTTCACACGTCAACTTTGATTATGGTGGATATTACCTAATTTTATTTACTGACGCAAATATTAAGGAAGTCCGACAAGTGTTTCAAGTTTTGTGGGATCTATACATCTATAATGTCAATTTGATCCGTAATATCAATGATTCAATCACAATTGAAACTTTCTATCCATTCAATTCATTAAGCTGTAATAAGACAGTTCCAACAGAAATCGCAAGATACTCAAAAGGACAGTTTGTCAAGAAGCCACAAGATTTTTTCCCAAAAAAGTTTGTCAATTTTCACAAGTGTAGCTTGAATGTTACAACTTTTGAGTCAATTGGACCAGCAGTTTTAAGGCAAAATTATGCAGATGGAACTTACAGACTTCACGGACGAGATATCGACATCATTAGCACAATTGCTGAGAAATTAAATTTCCATTCGAAAATATTTTACAATAAAACTTATGGTGGATGGGGTTATATGAACAAAGACGGAAGTGCTGGCGGAGCTTTTAATGAAGCAAAACTTAGAATTACTGACATAGCTTTTGGAAATGTGAACCTTAAAGTTGAGAGAGCAATTTACTTAGGATATACAATTCCATATGCAGCAGACATTTTCGTGTTTATTGTTCCTCCTGGACGACCATTAAGTTCTTTCGAGAAGCTTTTACGTCCTTTTGATGCTACTGTATGGACTTATGTTTTTATCATTTTCGGTGCCGGTTTCCTTATCATTTTATTTCTAGAGAAACGATGTAAAAATAAAATCAAACTATTCGTGTATGGCAAGCAAGTTAAAGCACCGCATATGAATTTCTTGATTGCAATATTTGGTGGAAGTCAGCGTCGATTGCCAAAGGGTAATTTTGCACGATTTATACTTATGACGTTCCTTTTATTTTGCCTCGTCATGCGAGCACTTTATCAAGGTTCCTTATATGAATTTTTACAATCAGAATCAAGCGAAAAAGAACCTCAAACAATAGAGGAAATGGCACAAAGGGAATATAGATTCAATATGATTGTTTCTTATGATGACTTTACAAAGGAAAATGTTCACATGAAAGGAAGGAAGCGGGTCATTAGCCCAGAAGTAATCAAGAAATTAATGGTTGAAATTTTGGATTATAACTTTCAAGGAACGTTAATGCTCAAAATGTCGCAAGTTGTGTACAGCAATCGAGAACGAGCGAGGAAGAATGAGCAACTTTATCGGATTTGCAAGGTAGTCAATTGTGTCCATTTAAATTTTTAAGTGTCATTTCTTTCCTTTTTCTCTTTCAGGAATATTACATGTCAGTTCCAATCTCAATGTACTTTCCGAAAAACAGCTATTTGGTTGATTTATTTAATAATTTGATCCTCTTGTTCCATCAGTCTGGATTAATGAGTTATTGGACGTCAGTAAATGAGGATCCAAAGTATTTAAATTTTAAGCCACAAGCAGAAAGAAGAAAAATCACAATTGAGCACTTATCGGGCCCATTTCAAATATGGATGGGAGCTTGTTCACTTTCTGTTGTAATTTTTGCCATTGAGTTCGCTTGGCATAGAAGAAAATGGGCTCTTAGTCGAAGAAAAATGAGTTCAAATATAGAGTTGAATAGGTTTTGAATATAAGTAAAGTATTAATAAAGGATGCTCTGTTTAAGACATATTTTACCGAATAAAAAAAATTAAGAATGTTGTTTTATTGTAATTCATTAATTTGATATTTCAAGTTTACAGCGTGAAAAAGTAATAAGGAAAGAATTAAAAAAAAAATTACTGAGAATTTTTGTTAAAAAGTTGAAATATTCAATTTAAGGCGAAGTTACGATTTTCTTGTCTTTTTGGTGGGTTCTTTCTTCACAAGTCGTTCATTAGACATGTCAGATTTTTTAAATGTGATCAAAAATGAAGAATGTGCTTTTAGTTCAAAATTGACTTTTATACTGACTCTTTTTACCACGTTTTTCTTAACTTGTTTATTCCCCAAACAGTAAGTCTAGAAAATTCAAATTTTAAAGGACTTGAATTCTTTTTTTTTATTTACAATAATAGCTAATTATTAAAGTTTAACACAGAAAATTTAAATGCAAGTTAATGAAATGAACTTTTTGGTTCATAAGACAAAAGTAATAATGCTCACATCCAATACACTTATCAATAATTACATCGGTACCTCATTGCTTTATGAACAACTATATTGCTGCCAAATTCGATCTATAGATTACAAATAAAATGATAAAATTATCAATGGCTGCTTATTATAATTTACAGCATAATCTTACATATTCAGTACATATATACTTCACCATAAAGCCAATGCACGTAAGTAGAAATATTTTGTGTATATTCTTTAACATTAAAGTACTACCAATACATGTTACAAGATGCTCCATTGTGACTGACTTGTTAAGCGAAAAGTGAATTTACTTTCTTTTTATAAAGTAACTGAAAATTTTAAATTTATTAAATATCTATCAAAATTTAACGTTTTTTTTAAATTCATGCTCAAAACGATGGGGGGTAAAATCCCCGAAAGATATTAATTCCACGATCCTGCAGGATAATAACCCCGAAAATCGCAAATTTTTATGTTCCCTGCGGGATAATATTCCCACTTAGAAATACACATGGAATTATTATCCTTCTGGGAAGATAATAATCCCACCTATAATTACAAGTGGGATTTTTATCTTCCAGGGAGATAATAATTTCACTTACATTTCTAAGTGGGATTATTATCTTTATGGAACACGATTAAAATTATGGATTAAATTAATTTCTTAATTTAAATTAATCTTTCCTTAATTCTTATAGGATTTTGATCAAAAGAAAAATCCCACTTATTAATTTGTCAATTTCATTATTCCAAAAAATTAAATAAGAAGAAAACATAAATATTGGTTGAATGTTTCAGTTGAAAACTTGGTTTTTTATGCCTTTTGTATATTTTCTAAACACCTAGAGTCTAGAGAAGAAATCATATTCACTCAAAATTTTCAATTTTTTGTTTTTGCAAATAGTTTTTAAATTAAGTCTATCAAAATTTAAAACGTGCCGAACTAATAAATCACGTTTTTTTTATCATTTTTGTCATTTTCAAAATTTGAATTCACGTAAAATTGATCAAAGAGGATGCAGGATTTTTTGCTTCTTTGGAAGCAATGGCTGTTTCTACCTTACCAAATAACAAAATATAGCCTTTTCCTTTTTAAAGCAGCAAGAATCAAATGCATACAGAATGCTTACAGAAAGCGTACTATGCGATTTTCCCATCAATGCTACAACTAATTTAAATCCTGTTTTTGCTCATTTGCTTTTTTTTCTCAAAATGCGAAAAACCGTTTTTCAAACTGAACAAAAATAAAGTGAATACGGTGTGAATATAAAATCCATTTTAGGATATAAAATTTTTTTCTGACAGGTTTATTTTAAGCTTTTCTTTAAAAGAGCTCAAGTTTGAAAGATCTTACAAAATATTACTTTTGAATTTTGTACAAATCACTTTAATTCTTTGCCGAACATTTTCAATAAATTTGTGGCCATCAGTTTGTTTCTCAAATCTAATCAAAATGAGATTATAAACAATCGAATCTCTTAAATGGTCTAAAACCATTGGAAAACCTTTTTGGGGTTTGTAGACACGGTTAAACAGCATCCGAACTGTCATTCTTTTAAAATTCCAGTTAATTTAATGTATAGATCCTAAGAATTTGAGCAACATAATTTTAATTTTACGTGTTTTTATATGAGCCTTTCCACGCGAAAATGAGACTCGGTATTTTTTTGGTTTTGGCTTAGTAAAACCATAAATAATGGTCCATACTATAATATGTTATATATTTTTGGAAAGCTCTCAAGTTAAGCTTTCAATGTGGGTGAAAAAAAATTAATTATATTATCAAGGGTTGGAAACTTTCAGGTTTGAAACTGTCGATCAACATACATTTTTGCGCGACACGCTGTGCTTTACTCTTTAAAGCAAACAGGATTATTTTAATTGAATTAGATTAAGTAAATAAGGTATTAATGCAAAAAGGAAAGTTTTTCAAATTATTTTGCTTGGTTTTATTTTTATGAGCTATCAAACCTTGGGAATTTTTCTGTTCTTTTTTTATAAAAATGCTTATATCTTGTCCAAACATTCGAATTAATCGATGATTTAAACGCTGTTTATCTTATTTTTTTCATACTTTAAATTTAGGCTCAAAACTACTTCCAAGGGGTGGAAACTTTTGTAAAAAAAAGTTATCAACCCTTGAATTTTTTCTTTTTTTTTCTTTTTAAACTATTAATTAAAATTTTTATTAAATATTATGAACCTAGAATAACATAGTTTTTATTAAAACTAATAGAAAAACATAAAAACTTAAAAAAAATTAATGCATAAATGATTTTTCATGGTTTTTCTTGGGATCTGTATCAAAATCGTCTTTTTATACTCTGATTCCGTTTCTGATTCATTAATAATTAATGACAATGAGATACTGAGATATAAAAAGACGATTTTGATACAGATTCCAAGAAAAACCATGAAAAATCATTTATGCATTAATTTTTTTTAAGTTTTTATGTTTTTCTATTAGTTTTAATAAAAACTATGTTATTCTAGGTTCATAATATTTAATAACAATTTTAATTAATAGTTTAAAAAGAAAAAAAAGAAAAAATTCAAGGGTTGATAACTTTTTTTTACAAAAGTTTCCACCCCTTGGAAGTAGTTTTGAGCTTAAATTTAAAGTATGAAAAAAATAAGATAAACAGCGTTTAAATCATCGATTAATTCGAATGTTTGGACAAGATATAAGCATTTTTATAAAAAAAAGAACAGAAAAATTCCCAAGGTTTGATAGCTCATAAAAATAAAACCAAGCAAAATAATTTGAAAAACTTTCCTTTTTGCATTAATACCTTATTTACTTAATCTAATTCAATTAAAATAATCCTGTTTGCTTTAAAGAGTAAAGCACAGCGTGTCGCGCAAAAATGTATGTTGATCGACAGTTTCAAACCTGAAAGTTTCCAACCCTTGATAATATAATTAATTTTTCTTCACCCACATTGAAAGCTTAACTCGAGAGCTTTCCAAAAATATATAACATATTATAGTATGGACCATTATTTATGGTTTTACTAAGCCAAAACCAAAAAAATACCGAGTCTCATTTTCGCGTGGAAAGGCTCATATTAAAATCTTTACATTTTTCTTAGCAAAATGTGTAAACAAACATTTTGATTAGACTTATAAATCTAATATTGTTAAGGGCAATTTTCAATTCTTTGGATGACTTTTGGAAAATTTCAGGAAAGAATCGAAAATATTTTAATTTTGCCGATTAGAGGTCCTGATTTTATAATTCTAATTGATGTAAAAATAATATGTATAATTCTTCGATATCATAAACTTCTTATGCTGTTTTAATTGAGTTATTTGGATTCTTTAATAAATAACTCGATGACAGAAATCGGAATTTTCCATTTTCATCATCCTAATAATTGAAAATTAGAGAAACCTTTTCATTTCAAATTCAAATTTTTCACTTAATTTGGTTGAATTTTTAACATTTTAATAGATCGTTTACAAAAAATTCGAATACGACTCACTGGATTTCAGAGTGAAGCACAGACTTCCAAAACCTATTTCCTTATGAACTAGGATCTCGTTTGTTTTTTTTCTATTAATGTATAATTTCTCTAGCAATAATTTATTTTTTTCTTTTTTTTGCCACATGGGATGTTTTTTCTCACATTTTTCATCCAAATTCAATTAATTCATACATTCAAAATCTAATTAATAATCAAATGGTATTTAAATTAAAACCTTGAAGGTTGGTGTTAAATATATTTCCAAATGTAGCTAAACATAATTCACTAAATAAAAGCACTATTATTATTACAAAAAATTAATTGTGCTTTACGATCTACGAAAGTTCTAGCTTATTAATCCTTCATAGCATTATGAAATTAATGAAAACATTTTTTGAAACATAACTCATTGACTTTGGATTATGAAAGCTCATTTTTTCCAAACCATCCTCATCCAAAAAATTGCCATTATTAGGAACCTTGATAAAAAACAACCTATTTTTCTTCGACTGGGAATTTAAAAATGTTCATCGAGAACTTCTAACAAAAAAAAATTGTCTATTTATATGGACAGGCTATCACCAATTTCAAGTCAAAGAATTGTAAAAATACTACGCTCTCTGTCAATTTGTTAATCGCTTTGATAACTCGATTCAAACTCATTATTAATTTGATAGAAACTGATCTATAGCTTGATCCTTTCGATTGATTAAATAACATATCTACTCCTAAACATTTAAACAAAACTGTGATTTTTAAACAGTTGAATGAACGAAGCGAAACAAAATGGTATTACAGCTACGTTTTCTTTAAACATTCGAGCGAATCTCAAACATAATTTTATAAGGAAAAGCTGGGAAAAGCTAACATCTTTAGATCAGTTCAGTGCAAAACATTACCATAATTTCTATTGAAACTCCTGTTTTAAATGACTACAATTTCACTGCTATATTTCAAGTCAATTTCGATTTAAATTGGCTTGATGTTTTTGAAAAATAACTATTGAATCCACCTTGATTTTATTTTTTAAACAGTTTGGAATAATATATTTTAAATAGCAAACATTCAACCAATATATTGTATTGCAATACCTATTTATGTTTTCTTCATATTTAATTTTTTGGAATAATGAAATTGACAAATTAATAAGTAAGATTTTTCTTTTGATCAAAATCCTATAAGATAATAAATCCACATATTAAAACAAGTGGAATTATTATCCGCTCTGACAAAAAAGTTTTTGGATTTAATTTAATCCATAATTTTAATCGTGTTCCATAAAGATAATAATCCCACTTAGAAATGTAAGTGAAATTATTATCTCCCTGGAAGATAAAAATCCCACTTGTAATTATAGGTGGGATTATTATCTTCCCAGAAGGATAATAATTCCATGTGTATTTCTAAGTGGGAATTCTTTCCTTTTCCTCTTTCAGGAATATTACATGTCAGTTCCAATCTCAATGTACTTTCCGAAAAACAGCTATTTGGTTGATTTATTTAATAATTTGATCCTCTTATTCCATCAGTCTGGATTAATGAGTTATTGGACGTCAGTAAATGAGGATCCAAAGTATTTAAATTTTAAGCCACAAGCAGAAAGAAGAAAAATCACAATTGAGCACTTATCGGGCCCATTTCAAATATGGATAGGAGCTTGTTCACTTTCTGTTGTAATTTTTGCCATTGAGTTCGCTTGGCATAGAAGAAAATGGGCTCTTAGTCGAAGAAAAATGAGTTCAAATATAGAGTTGAATAGGTTTTGAATATAAGTAAAGTGTCAATAAAGGATGCTCTGTTTAAGACATATTTTACCGAATAAAAAAAATAAAGAATGTTGTTTTATTGTAATTCATTAATTTGATATTTCAAGTTTACAGCGTGAAAAAGTAATAAGGAAAGAATTAAAAAAAAAATTTTTGAGAATTTTGGTTAAAAAGTTGAAATATTCAATTTAAGGCGAAGTTACGATTTTCTTGTCTTTTTGGTGGGTTCTTTCTTCACAAGTCGTTCATTAGACGTGTCAGATTTTACTACGTTTTTCTTAACTTGCTTTCTTATCTGTTTGATTGATTGTCCGCAAAATTTCGTACTTTTGTAATCGATTTTTCGACCACTTCTACTGCTCCAATCGAGCTCAAATTTTTAATGCACACGGACTCCCGGTGACAATACAATATTTTAACACATTGGAACCACAAAAATGCTTAATTATAGTACAATTTATGTAAAACTTTTTTATATGGGAAAAAATCCAATGTCAATGATATAAAATTTTGATTTGTATTAAACATTATACTTGAAATGCTCAAAAGTCATTTATATGATTCATTATAGTTTAATTAATATTACTAATTATTAATTATACTGTAAATTGGAGAAGCTGAAGATTTTCTGGGAGGATGAAAAAATTGACAAGTAATTTTTTCATGAATATCCGTAAGTGAAAATTTGAATTTTCAAAAAAACCGTTAAGCACAAGTCCGTTACGAATTAATGCAAAATAACTATCAATATGCGATGTGCATTTAGCACACATAGTTTGAGCATAAATTTATGCGTTTTTTAATGCATTACTTTATTTATAACACTTCATTAATTTAATTAAATTGACTCTTCTATTTATTAACGGCTTAACGTAATTTTGCATAACATATAAATGATATTCGTTGATATTAAATTTGAAAAATCCGTTAAAAGTTTGAATCTCAAAAATACGTTACATATAAATCTGTTGGTTTTGTTCAGATTGAAAAATCAGTTTTTTGAATTTTGTGAGGATATGGAGCAAGATAGCTCAATTCACACCGTTTTCACGTGTGAATCTATTGGTTTTGTTCAGATTGAAAAATCAGTTTTTCGCATTTTGTGAGAAAACAAAGCAAAATTGGTTATAAAAGGTCACAGAAGAAAAGTTTTTGCCTGAAATTTTACATCATTTTCAAAAAACAGATTTCAAATTGGTTGTGGCATTGCTGAGAAAATCGCAAAATACGCTTTCTTTAAGCAAACAAGCAAGCAAGTTAATCAGCAAGAAATCTCAATAACGAGACATCGTAGAGACTCTAGTTTTAGCTTCCGCGTTGAACACGGAAGGTGTTTCTTTATGTCGGTCAAATTTTGTCACCCAACCTACAGGTCCACCGTATTATCCAAAAGTAATGATTTATATGTCAAAATTTAGCCTTTTTCGTCTAGTAGGGCGGAAATTATGGCGCTTTGCATGAACTTTTTTTTTTGAGACCGCGGTGCTTGATGGAAGATTTTCGCGAAATCTCCATACAAACACTATATTTGCTCTAACTTTTTTAAAGCCTTAAAAAACGTAGTTTTTTTAAAAAAATTTTTTTATAAAGTATTTTTTTTTAATGTGATCAAAAAGCCATCATCGGTGCAACAGACGAGATGGTTGCCGTTAAAAGAGAATGAAGATGAGCGAATTGTTGCTTGTGAGATATTTTGGCTAATAGTATGGCATTTCCAATTAGAATTCGAGTCATTCTGCAAATCATACAAGATAAATTCACCTTTACCCGTACCAATACTCATATATATCAGTAGAGGATCAACGCTGAAGCGGATAAACCTGTGAAGTTAGAAATATTACAACACTTGAATCGTAAGAAATGAACTTAATTTACCAAAAGTCGCAGTTTTCTATTATTATATTTTGCTGCTTTACTAATTTCAATCCATTGATACTATTAAATGGAATATCTTGTCCATCCAGTCCTTTTATATCCCAGAAAATAATATTTCCATTAGCTGACTTTGTGATTACTGAACTCTCCGCGTACCAATTTATATTGTCAATAAAATTCACATGCAAGTCTTGAATTACGCACATATTATGTAGCAAGTTTAATTTCACTGGAGCCATAACATTGTTAATGATCAGACTTTCCTGCAAATTATCTTGAAAGTCTTTGCAGTCTTTGAGATTTACAATGAAGATTTCTTTCGTCATTCCACCATACGCTAAGTAACTTCCTGACGGATCAAAACTAACACTAATAGACTGCTTCATGCTATTAGCTCTTTGTGTTTGACAAACAGCAATGCAAGATTCTGACTTAAAGTTATACAAGCACACTGTACCGTCTACAATAGGAATTAAATTAAATTGCTAACTTCAAAGATCTTGGTTGAAGCATAGTTCATTACAGTATGGTTAATTAAAATTAAAACTAAGCACTTACCCTCATGTGCTGCAGCGAATAAGTAGTTAATTTTGGGGTTAAATACAATTTCATTAATAGCATTTGTTTCTTCACGAACATTAATTCCAAATATTGAAGTTTCCAAGATATTGTAGATCCTCCCCTTCATGCCTGTCACATAAAAAAAGTGAATCATTGTTCTGGATGTTTATGTTTACGAGTATTGAAATTTTACTGGATCTTTTGTGAAAAAATCATGATCAATTTTTGCATACATAATATAACTTACCAGCTCCAATTAAAACTATTTCATCTGTTTTCTCATCAATAGTCCAGTCTAAAGCATAAAAGTATTCATGTTTCTCGGCCTCAAATGTCCTCATTTTAACTATCGAGTCGTCATCTCTGATTTTATAAATTTCCACCTTATTTAAAAATGCAGCAGCGAATATGTTTTCATCAGTAAATGGACAGAACTTTACACAGTATATCGGCAACTTATATTTAAGCGTTTGGCCTGTGTAGTTGTTTAATTTATAAGGCGAGATGTGCGACATGCTTTTAGTTCAAAATTGACTTTTATACTGACTCTTTTTATTTGTTTTAGAAAATTCAAATTTTAAAGGACGGTTGAATTCTTTTTTTTTAATTTACCCTGTTTTTTCGTTATAAGCTGGTAGCTTAGAAGAATAAAAAAGTGATTTTTTTGGCTCACTAGTAGCTTAGTAACGAGTAGTAGCTTAGTAAAGAAATTGAACTTCAATAAAAATTTTGAATTTTTTAACTTAATTAAAGAAATTTTGCTATCTTCTCGATTTTATTTCATTGACAATGTCATAAGGCATTGAAACTGATACTCAGAAAGTTGAAAAAGATTAATTATACTTTATTTTTGGTAGTAGCTTAGTAAAGATTACAAAAAAATTTCAAGTTCAAAAAACTTTACTAAGCTAGTAGCTTAATAACGAGTAGTAGCTTATAACGAAAAAACAGGGTACATTAACAGCTAATTATTAAAGTTTAATACAGAAAATTTAAATGCAAGTCAATGAAATAAACTTTTTGGTTCATAAGACAAAAATAATAATGCTGACATCCAATAGATTCATCAATAATTACATCGGTACCTCATTGCTTTATGAACAACTATATTGCTGCCAAATTCGATCTACAAAATTAAAAATAAGAAGATAAAATTATAAATGGTTGCTTGTTATAATTCACAGCATAATCTTACATATTCAGTACATATATACTTCACCATAAAGCCAATGCAAGTGAGTAGAAATATTTTGTGTATATTCTTTAACATTAAAGTACTACCGATACATGTTACAAGATGCTCCATTGTGACTGACTTGTTAAGTGAAAAGTGAATTTACTTTCTTTTTATAAAGTAATTCAAGGGTTCACAACTTAGATTCGGTATCAGATAGAGATTATGTTCAGCATGAATATGTTAGATACCACTTTTTGAACCAAGCATTAAATTTATTAAATATCTATCAAAATTTAACGTTTTTTTTTTAAATTTATGCTCAAAACCACACAACAGTTGGTAAAATGCACTGGAACACTGGAACATATTGTTGGAAATTCAGGAAATTTTAAAATTTTTGACTGGAAATTGAAAGAATTTTAATTTTCTTGCTCAAGTTTATTAGTTGCATGTCTTAATTCATGACGAGGTCTATTGTTTGTCACACTTTTAAATATTTTGTACACATTGCACATTTATAATGTAATAAAAACCAACAAAGCACGCATTCATCATTCAAAACTAAAGAAATGCACTCGAAAAAAGACTTTTGAAGGTATTTCTCAGTATTTCCAAGTCACATACTAAAAATCATTCAGTGCTTCTAAATTGCTTAGTCGATAAAGCAGTTTCTACTTCGTTTAAATATTCGTTTATTACTGAAAGTTTCAAGTAGTCGCAACTGAATAGGGAATTTAATATGAGTTTTAAGTTTAATCAAAGATTTTTCTTTTGTGATTCTACATTTTGGACCTTTATCTTTAATTTAAATCAATAGAATTGAGATGAAAAATCTAGCGCTGAATGTTCAAGAAAGTGCCGAATCTTCGTTTAAAAATATCAAAACTACTTCAATGTTTTACGATCAAGTAGTAAACCTGCCTCAATGTAGTATAACTCACGATACGGCTAATCAGCAAATATTTGAGGGAGAATATCGAGCACTTCATTGCATTTCGGTAAGAAAAACTGATAACACTCAATTTTAGATAAGGCACAGATGTATAAATTGCGTGAAAATTACTCGTCTCGTCTCATTTTGTGAAAATATTCTCATAGAATTGAAGTGAAGTGAAAAGTCAGGGAATATTTACTGGCTGTTATCAAACAAAATTTTGTTCTTAAGTTTTCAATAAAATTCATTATTTTTTTGATACAGTTGAAAAGATAATAAAGCAGTGAGTAATTTACGACACTTTGATAAGTTTTTAATTGACTTTAGAGTAATACAGCATGTGAAAATTTATGGTTTAAGACCTTTTTAAATGAATGGATTGTGATTAAGGCAGTGAATTCAGTGATTTAATCAGATTTAACATATATGATTAATTGGAATAGTGAAATTTAACAAATTATTGAAATTTGAAAATTAAAACCATACAATTTCTAGTTGTAAAGCAAAACATTTGTATGGTTTTGAAAGTAAATTCAAATATTTGTGTAACGGTTTTAATTTAAAGATTTAAAGAAGTTAAGCTTAGCTTAAACGTGTAAATCAAAAATCAATTGCTCTATTCATCAATATCGAGGAAATATGTTATGACAGCAATATAAAGTGAACATAAATTAAATGTTGTACTTCAATATCTGTCACAGTATATCACCTTCAATGATAACATTTTATGATTTGTTTCCAATTAATCTCAATGAACACAATTACCGCCAGTGAATAACATCGCGTCATGTATTTTTAATTGTGGATAGAATGTTAAGTCTTAAGTGTTTACAATTAAATTAGCCTAGGTAAACATATTTATCTAGATTTATATTAATTAAGCTTGCATTTGTTGACGTGGACATAAGTTCAAGAAGTTATTTCCTCCAATGGGCTTGCCGCTAATCTAAATTTCAACTCATAAAGTTCAAGTGATTGACTGGATTAAAAGCAGCGTCATTGTCAATCCACTTATCTCTTTAAGAAATGTGACTTATTCAAGTGCCTTAATCACAAAATCCTCAAATGACGTGAAAATTGTTAAAAATGAATTAAAAGTCTTATCTTAAATAATTTAATCTTTGATTTGACAGGTATGATAGCTAGAGGAATTTTAGTTTTGACATTTATTGCCATTGTGCATGCCTCACCCATTGAAAACAAGCAATTACAACTTGAAGAAGAGATATCGTCGTTTGCTGTTGAAGATCTTAATTACCGATTGAATGAGGACGTTCTGCCGATAAACTACAAGCTTACACTTGAGCCATTTTTTGAAGATGTAAAATCATTGCTTCTTTTTTATTAAGAGGTTTATTTAATCAATGTCTATTGCTTCTCTTTTCTAGGAAGGACAAAATCGCGCTTTTACCTTTAAAGGTCATGTAGACATAACTCTTCAGGCACAAAAAGAAGTGACTGAGATTGTGCTTCATATCAATGACATTGATGTCCATTCTTACCAATTTAATCCTTATGAAATGACACCAGTTATCCAATTCAATAAGTCTGACTATAATGCACAGTATGACAAGTGGACGATCCCAATTCCGGTATTTGACAAGAAGTTAAATGAAAACCAGACAGTCATTCTGTCAATTGACTATACAGGATATATGCGTGACGATATGCGAGGGTTTTATAGGAGCTACTACATGGAAAATGGCAAGAAAGTTTGGATGGGTACTACACAATTCCAACCTGTTCATGCTCGACGAGCTTTCCCTTGCTTTGATGTAAGTTCCTATTGCTTCTATTTGTTCTTTATTAATTAATTAAATATCTTTAGGAACCTGGCTTCAAATCAACATTTGATGTGGTTATGATTAGACCCAAAAGCCTTGCATTGACGATTGGAAACACCAGAAGTACAACAAGTACTGACGAAACAAAATATCCAGGAAAATACATCGACACTTTCGAAACAACTCCTAAAGTAATGCCTTACTGCATGTTCTGATTAGATTAGGCTTTAATAACTTATTTTTTATAGATGTCAACGTACTTGCTTGCATTTATTATCTCAAATTACGTCGGTTCTCTGAAAAACACTGAAGATTTTGGAGTTTATGCACGACCAGAAGTCAAGCCACATACTGAATATGCTGTTGAGTTTGGAATTGAAATGCTGGATGAATTTAATAAATACTTTGGTATCAACTACAATGAGTCGATGAGTAAAATGGATATGGCTGCTATTCCTGACTTTTCTGCTGGTGCAATGGAAAATTGGTAAGTTGACATGCTTACATTCTCGAATTTTGAGCTAGAAAGAAATATTTCTCAGGGGAATATTGACATACAGAGAGACAAACATCCTCTATGACAATGAAACAACACCGGCATTAAATCAACAGAGAATTGCAGCTGTTATAGCACATGAACAATTGCATCAATGGTAGATAAATTAATTAATTAAAAGTGACAATTATATTAACATTAAAACTTAATGGAATTGCTTTATAGGTTCGGCGATCTTGTAACGTGTAAATGGTAAAATTTTATTAATTGCTAATCTATTCCTCATTAACATTTTTTGGAATGTCAATTAGGTGGAGTGAGACTTGGATGAATGAAGGCTTTGCTAGATACTTCCAATTCATGGGAACTGCGTTTATTCTTAAAGATTGGGACTTGGAGGAACAATTTGTCGTTGAGAATTTACAGCAATCAATGCAACTCGATTCAACGGACTCAACTCATCCAATGACAAATGTTGTTAATACCAAATCGGAAGCTTCTGGAATTTTTGATAACATCTCGTACAATAAGGCTGCATCTATTCTACGTATGCTCTCGTATTATGTTGGAAAAGACGATTTTCAAAAGATCCTTCAACGTCATTTAAGTGATAAGTATGTGTAGCTCAACAGAAACCAAAATAAGTACTAATTCAAACTGTTTTACAGCAAATACAAGGCGGTAGTTCCTGATGATTTCTTCAAAGCAATAGAAAATGTGAAAGATGCATCAATAGCTGACTTCTTTAAATCATGGACAATTCAGTCAGGATTTCCAATCGTTAATGCCTCACTTAACGGAACAACCTTGAAATTAACACAGCAAAGATTCATGAGAAGTGGAATTGAGAACAATAAGACTGAAAAGTACAACCTCCCGATCTCAATAGCTTTGGATAATGAAGGTTTTGATGATCCGACTTATAAATTTGTTATTCAAGGAAATGATTCATACGAATATAACTTATCATCTGCACCCAAATCATACTACATGCTTAATGTTCAACAGACTGCATTCTATCGTGTCAATTATGTTGATGATAATTGGAATAAGATTAAGGAAGTACTCATGGGAGATGATATGAAGAAGATTCATGTATTGAATCGTGCACAAGTCGTTGATGATTTATTTAATTTTGCGAGAGGAGGTGTAGTCAGCTATTCGAGTGCTGTCGACATCGTACGATATTTAAAGAATGAAACACATTACATTCCTTGGTTATCAGCTATTAATCATGGTCTTACATTCTTATCGCAACGTGTTAAGTCTGAAGATGCTGAAATCTTTGCTTGGTTCATTAACGATTTAATGGAAAATATTTATAAGCATCTTACCTTTGTCTATAAGGCTGATGATCGTCGAACTGATATTTATAATCGTGTTAATATTTTAGCATGGCTATGCAAATATGGACATAAAGATTGCATTTCTGAGGCGAAGAAAGCATACGAAGATTACAGCATAACATACAAGAAAGTGCCAAAAGATCATCGTGGTGTTGTTTATTGCAATGCAATTAGATATGGAAGTGATGAAGAGTTCAATTTCTTGTTTGAAAAGCTTCTTCTTGAGAATGTTGCTGCTGAGCAGCTTAATATAATGAATGGCTTGGCATGCTCTAAGAACGAGACTAATATTAAGGTGGGTTTTGATTTATTATATATAAAGCTATATAAAGAAATTGAATGCTTTTTAATTGCCTCTTATTCGGTGGATTGAAAAATTAATCGTAGGATTAATTTCAAGTCGTTCAGTAAAACAAGACTTCATCTCAGTTCAGATCATTTGAATTTTGAAAAGCCGTTTGAAAATTTGAAATTCAAATGATCGTTATTTGGTTATTTTTTCATTGACAATTTTATTCTGCAGAGATTACTGGGCAGATTAATCAGAACCACAGATATTCGTATTCAAGATAGAGCAACAGTAATAAACGGAGTATTAAATGGAAACCCAGAAGGTATTGATTACATGTTCAACTTTATTACCAACAATTACAATGACTGGAGAACTGCGTAAGTCAAAAAAAGGCCAAATAAGTTGAGTTTGAACCTAATTTGTTCCATTGTATGTCCACAGCATTGGTGATCTGAGTGCTTTAACGTCAACAGTAGGAAGATTTACATCAGAAGAGCAATTGAAGAAATTCGAAAGTTTCTTAGAAACAGAGAAAGAAGGTTTAGGCAGTTTGCATGCATCATTAAGCAACGCTGTAAATACAGCAAAATTAAATTTCGAATGGGATGATAAATATATGAAGGAGTTCATTAATCATCTTCATGAAATAAGCTCTGCTTCAATTAAGGTCATTTCGATGATTGTTAGTGCATTCACTCTCTTTACTCTTTATTTATTTAATTAAGTTAAGACGAATGATGATTATCATTTGATTTTTTTTTTGTTCTCTTTATTTTCATTTCTTTTGTTCAATTCAATTGCAATAAATTACTTAACATATGTTGCTTGTAACATATTTACATAAAATGCCATAATAAGAGTTCTATTTATTAAGGACGTCTGTCGGCTATGAGAGATTTAAAGTTTTTGTTACAAAATAACGGATTTTGAGACTTTTTTAACGGATTTCAAAAATTTGAATCCTAACGACTTTCAAAATTTTAAATTTTATGTTAACATTTGTAACGGTTTTTAATTATAATTTTATTGCAAATTTCATCTTATTTTTAAACAGACGTCACTTATAAACCAACTCAAAATAATTATATTCCAATATTGTATAAAAATAAAACTTTCTTTTTTTTTCTATGTTTTTTGTGAAACTTTATAGAAATAAAATTCAAATCAAATTGAAAACAAATTTATATCAATTTATGTTTTGCTTCAATAAGGAATTTGGTATCAGTATATATATGTTTTTTTAAGTTTTAAGGCACTTATCCTTATGTCCTAAATAGATCCTTAAAGGATTATTTCTGTTTTTTTTTTCTTTCTTTTAGTAAAGATCATTAATCACTGATACACATTCAGATATAAAATGTAAATGTTAGAAACGAAATTTGTTATTTACATTGAATTCAGTTCCATTCGACACAATACTTTGATAAAATTATCAACAAATTTTAAGATTATAACTTTTAACGGTTTTGAAAAATTTTGAATTTTTTTGAGCATTTTACTTTTTTTGAATATTTTTTGACAGTTAAGGTGAAAAGTCACCAATATGTTAATCTTTTTGGCTAGTTTCTGTAAGTTTAATTAAAACAAATTTAATTCAAAACTAATTGCTCCCAAAAACCACTAAGTTTACGACACAGAATATGTTAAAAAGCACATTAAATGCCCGATGATGTCTACACAAACCTAAACATATAAGCTCTCAATGGAACTGAATTCAATAGTAAAATTCATTGACATAAATTTTTCCACCACAACTATTTAGAATTTACTTTTTTTTTGTTAATTTTCAAACATTTCACATGAAAAATATTCCATACTTTGTGCTACATAGTCACATTTGAGTGGTTCTATATCATATATCATCAGTTCCATTCACTTTCACTCTCATCATTAATTGAATTTACTCATAAAAGTTATGTTTGAAGGACAAATAAACTAAATTAAATAATCTATACGCTGCAATTGAATAGTATTATAAGTAAAACTAAATCAAAAATTACTGTACATAAGTCTATTTAATAATTAAAGACTGATCTATCCATTTTATCTAGATTATGTTTGGTAAACATTCATTTAAAATCAATTTCTTAAAAAAAATGAGTGAAATAAACTGATTGATGCCAAATTTTCTTGAGATTTTAACGGATTTTAAAGATTTGAATTTAAAACTGTGCAAATTTAAATTAAAAACCATACAAACGAATTTGTATGGTTTAAGAACATTTCAATAGCAAAAACGAATTTGTAGTGTTTTAAAACACGGTAATATTTAAACAATAAAACCATACAATTCCAAACATTTGTAATGTTTTGAATTTGAAAAAAGTCCGTTAAAACACCAAAAACTCTGGCATCAAATTTTCATAAATTTACTAAAACTGGCTATAATCATACAGTTGAATTAATTACAGGCTAACGATATGTTCAGATTCGAGAATGACAAGCATATAAATAATCAAAAATTATCATTCAGAAAATGTGGAGCATTTTGCATCAAATTAACAAATCCATGAGATTCCACACAAAATATATCCACAAATTCACTATTATTGATTCACACGCTGCATCCATTATTTCAAAAATAATTTTCATCAAAATTATTTGAAAAACCACTTCCTTCCTTACTTTTCATTCCATTCTGATCTTACAGACTAATTTCATTTCTTAGAAATCGTAAAAAAATACTTATCATACATCACTTAAAAATCCATTTCCGCTCATTTTATTCTCTTATTTTTTAGCTTTTAATTTTCTTTTTATGTTTTAATGAAGTTTTGTTGTTGTTCGAGCAATTTTCTGACCAAGTTGTAGCTACTCTGGGATTTTAGTATTTGGGTGGATTATTGGGGATTGTGTTGGATTATTAAGGTTCGTCCTGGTTAAGGATGAATTAAGGTCAAATCATAAATGAATTTCAATATTGGGGGTAGTCTGAAGTTTTGTCACAAGAGGGGTCCTCGAATTGAATAAGTGTTTTTTGCATTAAAATAGAATTTATTCAAATCAAAGATTCCCTGTCGAGAATTCCAAACGATAATTTGGAGTAAGGACCTAAACAGTCCCAAATATGTCCACAACTTGGCTTGAATCAATTCCTAGCTGAATAGTTCTCTCTCTCTTTCTATTATTTCTGGTTGTATTTTTATAAAGTTCTACATGTAAAGTGATCACAATAAGTATATATATTTTTTTTATAATAATATTAGGTATAGTATATAATACATGAGTGAAGCATATGGTGCTTTGAGGAGGTTTCAAGAATAGAAGAAATAAAAACTTTCATTTTTAATGAGACTAGCAATTTTATCGATATAATATACTACTTACTTACTTCGCTGGCCGTACAGATCAATTGTGATCCATGGCCTCCCTTAGATGGCGCCTGAAGCTGACTCTGTCGCTGGCTTCCGTTTGCCAATTAACCATACCAAATGCAATACTGTCTCTGTCAACAGCTTCTTTCCAAGAGTTCTTGGGTCGCCCGCGTGTTCTTTTGCCATCTACAAAAACATTCTTAAAGACTTTATTAATGGGAGCTTCAACAGGTCTCCTAACGACATGTCCAGCCCAACGGAGTCTGTTGACTTTGATTCGTCGTACGATATCAGCTTCATTGAAAAGCTGATATAATTCTGCGTTACTCCTGCTTTTGTAAAAGTCACCTTCTCGATCGATATAATATAATGCAGTATTAATGAGTGATAGTAGATTGAATAATGAGAGAGAACATTCAGCTCTGAATCATGTCATTTTTGTTTCTTTTTTTAAAAATATTCATAAAAATGTTGACTTTAATTTTTTTAGGTATTTTAATGCTTCAACATCAAAGATGTGTCTCTAAAATATTGTTTCAGTTTTAAGGTAAAATTGGTAATCAATATCTTTGTTGTCTTTCTGTTTCAAAATTGTGTCATTCCTACTTTTGGAAAATGTCTATCAATCGTCAACTTTTGGAAACATGTAAGGACTTTACATGTTTGAAGTCGTTTTACTATACAGCACATCCTTTTCTCGTACCGTAAAGCACTTGCAGTTCTGGATAAATTATTTTCTTGATTAGCTGATTCGTCTTTGCTGCCAACATCGCTCGTTTTGGATCTTTCTTCAGTACTTTAATGCCTGGCTTATGCACCAAGAATGCATTATCGAGAATTTGAAACTCATAATCCAGAACACATAGTGAATATCCTTGTGTCATTTTATCACTCTTTCCTTCCCAACTCAATCGCTCGTCGTAATGAGGATCAGAATGTGTTCCTACAAAAATTGGCTCCCAATGTACAAAATATCCTGTTCGCTTGCCAATATAAAACACTCCTAGTTCTGTAAAGTAAATATTTTTCATTAATATCCACTATGTATCTGGTTACACACAAAAAGAACTCAGAGGCTCTCACCATCTGTCTCATTCGCAGCCATCCACTCTTTTGATTTCGGAATACCATGACAACTAGCACACACACGCTTATGAAATGGAATAGCTTTATTGGTCCTGAGAAGTTCTTGAAGCTCTGTTTTATCGCGCGGAACGGATACTGTTGTATCTACTTCAAATATTGGCAATGGAAATACCCTAGAAACACGAAATGAAATGTAAATATATCATGTTACATAATCCAATACACAAATATCGTTTTTCTATTATTCTAGGGCTATCGTCTTTTGTCATGAATAATCGAGCTTACTTTATGAAAAATTGTCGACAAGGATCTACTTTTTAATCCTGGAGATTTAATTTTGACGGACTTTTTAAATTCAAAACCATACAAATTTTATTTGGTAGTAAATATTTGTATGGTTTTGAATTCAAATCTCAAAAAACCGTTAAAATCTAGATCTTTTGATTAAAAATCTCAATGACAACGACAAGTAGCCACTAAAGCACAGCTTACCTTGGGCTCTTTCTCTGCAACGGCGCGTCATTTCGTGCAATCATCTCGAGAAATTTCCTCACAAATCCAGGATTCGTGTAAAGTTCAATATCGCTAGCTAATAAAAAATGTGTTAGGGCTGCATCTCTGGCAACATTTCTACCAACATTTACAGGATATAAAAGTTTCTTTTGAGTTTTATAAAGTTGCGCCGCTGTCGCATTAAAAAATGGCGGTGTGAGGCTACAATTGTATGGTGGGAATAGTACTTTGTCATACTTAGGAACCTATATTAAATATGAGGAAATGAAAAGAAAGTGTTAAGTATGTGCTGGACATTATGAGTTAAGGACGTGTGTACTTACTACTTTTGGTACATGTTTACTACTAAAATAAATATGAAATGTTACAAATTGTCGCACCAAATTACTTTCGGGCAGACAATCTCGTAGATACTTTATGGAATTAACGGTTGGCAAGAAGTCAGTTCCTGGCGCGTGAAGGGCAATGCTAATAGGGGCATTCCATCTGCATACGAATGAACACAGTTGTATAATTAATCAGAATTTTAATCCGAGGAGAAAACAACATCATGAGAAGTTTTGAACTTTAACGGTATTCGAAAATTCAAATTTTTAACAGCTTCATAAAGATTCAAATTTTCTCAAAAGTTTTTACCATTTTTCGCATCATGTTGTTTCCCCCCTTATAAATCATGCTGCTTACCTCTCTAACAATGGAATTAAATTATCTAAGAATGTATAATCAGCGTGTGTTGTATATGTGACTGATTCATAACATTTGAGATCTCCATGCTCGGCTCGAACGTAATTTTTGAGCACCCAAAAGTCACCACGTTGCTCAATATTTGGGTCATAACTTTTTGTAAAGCAATTCAGAAGCATTCTGTATGAATAAATGAACAGTAATATCATTATTGATGCAATTTATCTTCCATTGTGTGCCTTATTTTCTACTCACTTTAATCTCGTTTCTAAGTCATTTGATTGTGTTGTAAATAATTCACTATTATTTGCATTATTATTATTGTTATTATTATTATTGTTCCCACTTGTTCCATCGGTGAATAGTACATCTGTTTTTTGTTGCTGTTGCTGCTGCTGTTGTTGTTGTATTGATGATTGGTCAGTTGGAATTTCAAAGCGGTTATCTTCTTCAGGAATAGTTTCTGCAATCTTTGATTCACTTTCTTTAGTCTTTGTGTTTTCTACATTCTATAGTTTTGTGGCAGATAAGCAAAAATCAAAATTAAGTTTTTCTTGTGGGCATCAAGCTATGCTTTTGTGAATATTAAACGGTTTTTTTAAATTCAAAAAATTTAACGGATTTCGTAAATTCAAAAAAAATATATCTTTGGTTCAATATTTGATCAAAATTGTCATTATAGAAAATGAAGAAAGAATGACGTAAAAGCACAATTATTCAGAACACAATTAGATGAATTATGTATATCAAAGATAAAACGACTTATCATCATTATGGATTGTGTATTCTCTATCGATTTTCCATTAAATTGTAATTAATGTTCAATTCTACCGAGATGACCGAATTTTTCGCAAAGTTCAAATCAAATATTTAAAATCAAATTTAACGGTTAATCATGCAATATTTTTTATAGCATAAATTATAAGCATGAAATGTCAGGTGCCTAATAAAAATAATTGATGTTACAGAGTACGTGCTTTACAAAAAGTGCAAAGGTCAATTCCATTAATAAAAAGAATCATAATTCTATTGGTCACACACAATGGCATTTTCGTTATCGTGAAATATTTAAAGTATTACTAAATATGAGTAAAGCGTTTGTTTAATGCTATAAGAGCTCGTTTGGAAAGGAAAATCAATGAACGTGTAACTGAATGAATGTTAATGGAAAAAAGAGCCATTGTGCAGAGAATTTGGACTCTTTTAAAAATAGAAATAAAGCAATGATAAATAATTATAATGACTATCAAGTTCCATTACTTAAATAATAATCACAAATTCTATTTTAATAATTATTGACTCAATGTATTCTTTGTCTCTGCTTTTACTGTTTCTTTCTTCTCCTTATTTCTTTTTTGTACAATTGTGGATTGCACTTAAGTACATTCAATGGAATGCATGCACATACTGCATACTTTTATCAATCATTATGTTCTATAATGAGCACAATTTAGATTGACATAATAAATTTTCTACATATCCGTCAACTTCGCTATCACATCCACTTATGTCGACTCTCCTTGTGCATCAAAACATACTAAATTGAAGATGACATAGTGATGTTATTTTTATTACTTTTTCTTACTTAATTATACCGTAATTAGTCAACTGAATTAATTGCTGGTTCTTATTTGTATCAATTTCACTCATCTCATCTTTTTCTAGTTTTATCCCATTTGATCATTTGATGTAACATAAAGAACGGAAATCGTATTGAATGGCATGAAAAAGAACTTGTTTTTGGAATAGTTTTCAAACCTTTTATGCTAAACACTGGCTGAGACTCAAAGTTGATAAGATTAAAGATAAACTTGCGAATTCAACGGTTCAAATTTGAATTTTCAAAATGTTTGCAACTTTTGAAAGACGTTAGAAATTTTGAATTTTTCAAACAGCTTGAAAATTTAAAAATTTGTGAAAAGCGGTTCAAAGTTTGAATTTTCAAAAACCGTTGAAATTTAAATCTCAACATTTTGTCAAAAATTTAAATTCTCATAAACCGTTAAAAAGGTTTTGTGTCTTTAAATTCCGTTGATCGAATCTCAATAAAAATTCTTCAGCACTGCTTCGGACAAATAACGATGAGAATGTTATTCCAGCATGTTAACATAGCAGAAATGATTCCATTTCATGCGTGTTGTTGAAATTGAAATTGAATATGTAATGCAGGAGAAAATGAAGTGCAATTATACACGTTTATTTCTTTTTTATTGGCATGTATGAGAATCACATGGCTCAGAATGCGAGAAAAAGTATTGATAACAATTTATAAATTAAACATTCAACTAGTGATTCGCTACAATTATCGGCTCAACTATAATTTTATGTGCATTTTTAATGATGATCAGGTAGACTGTCGTGTTGCCATCCCTTGATATTCAACAGGAAAGAATCAATATGAATTGCCGAAAGATAAATGCTGTTTAATAAAAATTATGATGTAAATCGATATGAGAACTGTTCGAAAAGGATGTACACAGTAAATCATCAAGCATGAACTTTATTTTTAGAGGTTTTCATCTCACTTCAGCGCATTAAGAACCATTGAACGTTTACATACCGAATATTTTTTTGCGGAATTGAACATTTTTATGCCGCTAAAGCATTTTAAGATTTTTCTAAAAAGAAGTCAAGTAATCGCAACTCGAGTGCCAAAATGCTTGATTATTTTTTTCAAGTTTGCATTAAAATATTGGAAGATGAGATTGAGCACCACTTTTGAAATTAAGTAATTTACATGTCCTTGCCGTTATTTTATTAATTTAATTTATACACGTTGTGTGAAAGCAACATGCAGCTAGTCGCCTGTAATGTCTCCGTAGAATTAATTATTTATGACAGTCAACTTTCATTAAATCGTAGAGAGTGCATTTATTTCTTACTTACAGACTATCGACATGAACCATTATGCAAATCTATTCATGCTTCTAGCTGAAATGAAATATTCAGCACTGTGCGAACAAGATTGAGGCGCATTTTGTTAAATAAATTATTTGATCCAATAATTTTAAATTCTTTAAAGTCATTTCTAGAGTCACAGATCTAGTTTTGAGTATGAATAGCCCCCCTTTTTTTAAAAAAATTCTTGGCATAGTCTCTGAGTCAATATCCAACTTTGTACGTCTTTGCAGCGAGTTAAGCTATAACAAACGCCTCAACATACCAGAAATGCACAAAAACTATTCATTTCAACACAAGTGATGGGAAATTATTTTAAAAATTGGAATTTAATAATATTTATAATTCTAGAATTCAGTTTGTTAGCATTTCTCAGTTCTCCAACCATCCCATGCCATCAGCAAAGAGGGCAAAAACTAAAAAGAAACTCAATAATAATGAATTCCGATCACAATTATAGTTATAACACTTGACGTTCAATAAAAATATAAAGTTTATGCAAGCTATGCAGATTCCCTCCTTCTATCTTTTTCTTTCTGTACTGTCTTCTTTTATAATTTAATTTACATCCATTAGAATGCAGCAGAAAATGAGTGTGATTCAATTGTTATTGAGTTATAAGAACTATTTGCATAAAAATGGAAATTTAATTGAACGGAAGCAGAAATAAAACAGTGATATCTGTTGTGTGCATCTTATTAAATTTTTTTGGGTTCTTCCAATATTTTTGAGATCTTTCAGTGGATTTTACTAATTTCCAGTCATGGGAATTCGATTTTAAATCTCAAAAAACCGGTTAAAATTTGAATTCCAGTTTAAAAAATTTGACTGGATATTTCCAATGACTGGAAGTTTATTTTCCAGCCTGAATGAATTTTTTGAATCTTAAATAACAGTTAAAAAATAAATAAACTCGAACTCGACATACCTGAATGGCAGCATCTTGAATTTTAAGTTGTTTTTGAAGTTCCAACTCTTTATTATGTAATATGGCTGCTAACTCCTGCTCATCCTGATAAATTTGTGCTTGAGACAGTGATGATCGTTGCGTTGATTGTTGATTTGATGTTGGTGATAATTGCTGAAGTAGTAATGAGTTTCCTCCTCCTAAATTATTTGTGGTATTGCTACCAATCATTACATGACTACAAATGTACAAAAGAACTATGATGTTCGCAAATATGCTACATCTCAATAACCAATTTCTTCTCGTTATCATTTTCTGTGAATTAATTTATTTCTTCTAATTTGTTATGCCGATGGTTCTGTCTCTTGATCCTTCAGTCGATTGAATGACAGCTTCTTGTGGAATTTTTTTTATTTCGTTCAGAAAATGACACTACATTCAAGGTTTGTTTGATTTTAATTATGATGAAATTCTTGGCTAAGCATTTGAGTATTCTTCACAAAATTTATTATTTACATAATATTGAAGCGTTATCATAGCTCATATATTTTATTTTATTTGGCAAATTTATGCAAGTGAGTTCATACACACTTATCGCTCGCTTTTAAATCATTGTTTCTGCAAATATTGTGTTTCCTCGTTCTTAATTTTTCGATTTGGCCTTCTTCTAAATAATTCTGAAAATAGACAGAAAGAGAAAAGAAGCAATGTAACAGGTTATTTCATCATATCAAAATGCTGTCTAATGAATTATATGTTTGAGTGTGCATTAAAAACTACTCTTGATGTTTTTCTTTTGCATAAAAATATTCGCGATTCAGGAAGGCAAGACATTGGGTGAATGACCAAAATTTAATTCTTTTATGGAAGTTTTATGTCCAAGATATGGCTTAATTAAACTCATAAAAATTAAGATGATTATAAAACGAACTTTTACTTTTTGAATTAACAATTCAACGAAAAAATAAATTAATTCATTGTCAATCACGTTATTCGTGTTGTTTGACGCTGCAAATATTTAAACATTTCTTAAAATTAGTTACAGCAAGATATTCGAGCTCTGCTATTTCGGAAGATAATTATGCGGTTTGTTTACTTTTGACCGAAAGTCAAACAATCATAAATAACGATGAATGAACGAAGGAATTTTACAACAGATAAGGGCCTCGTCACAAAAAAATTGTACGTGAGTGACGCTTTGTTATTCTTGAATATCTCCTTATCATTAAAAGTGACAAATTTAAGAGTTACTTTTTTGAAAAGATAATTAAAATCCCCATCTATTGTATTACAATTCACTTCTTGAAACTTTATAGTTACTTAAAAAAATCACTTTAATTAAGCGTCACTCACGTACAATTTTTGGGAATTTTGCTATATCTTCATTATTGTTTATTGATATATCTCCAAATGTATTTTTCTAGGTCCGAAATTCAATTCTGTTCTTTTTGAATTTATAAAAAAATTAAAATTGCTGCATTAACATACCCAAATGGACAAAATTAAGTTAAATTTTTTTAACGGTTTTAACCTTTTTTGAATTTTTTCGGTTGTAATTTGTTTGTTTACAAACAAAATCGAAAATGAAATTTGAAAAGTCACGAAAATATCACTCAATAATGATGTAAAAGCTCTAAAAATAGTCAGAACAGCTAATGTATGATATACTTTTCGTATTCAAATCATAATATTTGGGATTAATGATTGAATAATTAAGAATTTTGAGAATTTAATTTATGATGTTTTTTTATGATAGTGTTAGTGAAAAATTCAAATTATTTTTTTCCGTTAAGCAAAAATCCTTAAAAAAACGTCGAGGCTCATAATATTGTGGCTTTTGTATCGTAAGTAGAAGTTTAAAATTTGCACGTTTTATGTGTCAATACTCAATTCCGTTGATGTGATGAGCAGCATGAAACAGTATAGTATTATTCATCATAAAAATTAAAATGCAGTAAAAATTTTCAACAAAAACAAAAGAAAATCTTTTTTCTACCGTTAATAACAACTTTTTAACATGCAATAAGAAGACAGAAATGTAAAATTACTTTAAGTGAAGTCGTCCGAGAATGATACCGAGAATAAATATCTCTCGAGACTGTGGTTTGAGCTGACGAAACGGAAAAATATGATTCAAAGGAAATTTCTGTTGCTTCGCAAACAACTTAATTGGGTAAATACAGTATAGCAAAATTTTTGGCACAAAAGTCAATACAGTCATCATCAACATTTTATCGTCACCAAAAAGTTTACTTGGTAAAGAGCAGCAACAAGTCATTGAACTTGAAGAAATTGACATTAATCAGCAGAGTCAATAATAACAATCGAGGTAAGGGGCAGTTCACTTATTACGTTGCGCAAAAAAATGACTTTTTTTCACACCCTCTCCCCCCCTTGTTACAATATGTAACAACTCACACCCCCCCCCCCCCCCTGAACGTTCAAAAAAAATGTTTTTGGTTTGAATTTGTAAACAAATTTTTTTTCGTGAACTTTTTTTTAAAAGACAGACGACAGTTAGAACGTTACATACTTCTTGACACTCCCCCTCCCCCCTAAAATGCGAACGTAATAAGTGAACGGCCCCTAAAAGAATGAATGAAAGAAAAAGAGACGAGATAAAGACGTGAAATTTCATATTATACATTCTTTACTCATTTATATAAAGCAAACCAACGCTTAATTTGCTCCCTAGCTACCCAGCAAGATTTTTGCTTTCGATAAAATGATCTGGGTGTTAGGGGTTCATAAACGGAAATGCTAACAAGAACTTGACAATGTTTGAGGAATCAGAATCTCTATTCTGTTAAAATTATGAGCCGGTTGATATGCTCTTTTTTAATGACTCGTCATTGTCTTCGCAGGAAAAGAAAAACGAGAAAAAAATGTTACCCGAAAAGAGTTTTATAAACATTCCTGCCATTAGTATTGCTAGTTCGATGCTAAGATCATAAAGATGAGAATATTTTTAAAAGTTGCGCAATAATAAAAAATCCATTGTCTTCATGTTCTAAAGACATTCGTTTTTGTTTTTTCATCGTGAGAATAATAATTAATTAAGAATAAAAACCAGAGAATTAATTACAAATTCACAGCTCTGACAGAGATTATTATTTTAAAGGTAACTTTTTCATGTTCACTCATTACGACTTGTCTTCATTTAATAATTAAATTATTGATTTCATGTGATGTTGAGCGTACAGCAAAAAGAAGTCATTCGTGCTGCTAAATCCTATAATTTTAATTAAGACAAAATGAAAACGACTGCAAAATCTCTAATTACTTGAAACATTCCAAATCAAGATTTATATTGTATCAAATTATATGAATTATGGACATCTACGCAGTCAGGCGGTGAAGCAAGGAGGCAGTCTACAAAAATCAAAGAGATACAATCTCAATTACTTTTGCCACAAATATCAAAAAATTGATTTAACAAATGCGATTAAAAAATATAAGAAGTTCAAAATGAACCTTAGAAAAATTACAAATTCTTCTTCGCTTCTGACAAGCCATCAAGCTCGTAGTCGTAATACATTGTAAGCAAATTTAATGGGCACTTAGCAACCACATTGGACTAAATAGAAATTCTTGTGCTTCATATATAATATTATGATTCAAAGCGTTTGTGAAATGTGCTAAAAATTATTATTATGATTCGAAATCATTAAAAATATGTTTAAAGGCAAGAAGCAAGAGGTAGAGATGGTGTAAAATAAAAATATAAAATTCATTAGTAACAACACACAAGCTTACATCATAATAATAATAGAAAATGACCATGTGAGTCACAGTTAGGATTTTTTTTGTTCCTCCATTTTGCCTGTAATCGTACCAGGTATGATAAATAATATTTTGAGGTCAATGATGGATTCTGTAATGAATGGAGGGACGGAACGATAGTAGTCAGAAAAATAAGCTTGTATGAGCATACACGCTAAAAACATCATGTGTCTGTGAGGCATGATTAATTGAGAAATCAGTAGAATCTACGCGAAATAAGTAACAAGTAAGCAAGAAGATAATTTCAATAATAAACCGAGAATAATTTACTTTATAACGCTTCCATTAATGGATGTATGGTGATCGAAAGAATGAAATGTTTTCTAAGCCTTAATCAAATCAGTTAGATTATCTAAATCTGTACATTTAAATTGATGTACACAACGCATTTCTACACAGGTGTTAAGTGTCCATTAGGGATTCAGTTACACGATTTATTTCCAATCATTATCAATAATCAAATGATCTGTAAAATCCGACGAGCCATCACGTGCAAAAATGACGCAGATAGAAGACATAAAACTAAGTATGCGTAGTATTCTAGTCTACATCTTGTCATCATGTGAAGTTATTCCATAAAATATGTCAAATGTGTTAACTTTTCCATAAGATACAGCCAGAGATAACATAGTGCAATGAGAACAAGATTCTGAAACTTTTTATTTATAGTTTTACAGCACGCAACATTAGCCTGTTTAGAACTTGTAAGTTATACTTTTTTTCTTCTCTTTCGCCACATTCCATATGCATTCTGCTGCTTATGCGATAAAAAATTTCAATCTTATTGCTTAATAAAAATTTTAATGCCAGGAAAGAGTCTCTTGAGATTTCAATTTTGGATTAAAGGTTTTATGTTTAACGAATTTTTAAATTCATCTTATCTCTTGCTTAATATTTGGAAGTTGTCTTACTCTCATGTTCGTTTAAAGGCTGGAAATGGCCAAGAATCGTAAAAATCATTTAAAAATTTATTCTTATTGGCTGTAAAAAAACGTAGTTCTTTGCGTGCATACATTTAAATACTAAAGCCAATTAAATATCTTAATTTACACTATTTATAAGAATATCTCTAAAGTATCAATAACTTCCTTACAGATCCCACCACCTATAAATCTTAATGATTAGCAATATAAAGCATTAAGTAAATTGATATTGCCATCAATTATATTCACATATAGCATTACAATTGAGTTATGCTTATGATGTTAAATGCAATTATCATTTAATGTGTTACGTCGGCGAACTTGACCTCTATAATATTATAGTAATTCCATATAAGTGATTCAAACTACGTGAAAACTTGAAGAAGTAATTTTTGCTAACATTTTTTCACATCACATAAACATTTTTATACATCGGGGGGCTGTTTATAAATGATTTCTATGAAAATGATGGGTTTTGAGGCTCCCTTTATGAATAAAACACACAACTAATAAGCTAATCAAGCTGTTAAGTCTCAAGATAGATCAACTAGCATGGCGCTTGCCACAAGTTTGATGCTGCAATTCGTGGGACGTTGGTTCGAGTCC